GATAAGTTTTTATGAGTGTACACTCTCCCTGGCTTCTGTCTTTCCTGCCATGTTTGGATTTTATTTTACAGTAAGATTGAGAAATTTCCTCCTCCCTTAATATCCTCTGGTAAACAGATTTCTTGGAATGACTTTCTGGAAGCAGTTGCTTTCTTAGGTGCAGCCCTGCGCCCCCTGGGGGCGGCGGCGGGAACTGCGTACCTGGGCTGCCTTTGACTGCGGCCTTGGATCAGGCTGGGGTTGTCAACGCAGCGCGACTTCGCGCTGTTGTAGGGATTGAGCCACAGAGCCAGGCGACCAGGCACGCAGCACCGAAGCTGCAGGAGCCTGAGAAGAAAGAGCCAGTGTGCGCCGGGCAAGTCCAAAGGCTTCTCCAGGCACAGCGATTCGCGGGGAGGGGCGCGGGCAGAGAGGCCACAGTCCTCCGCCAGGACAAAGGGGCCTCAGTGCTTGTGAGCAGGCGGCTCCAGGGGCCTGGTGGTAGCATAAAGGGAAGCTGTGTCTCCACAGCACTCAAGATCACCTTTGTCTTCGGAGTCTAAGTCAAAGAAAGGTTACAGAAGGAGCCTGCAGGCTCTCCTCCCTCTGCAGGGGTCGGTCCAGAGTAAGAGCCAAGTTCTTTCCCAAGATGCTGGGAATTGAGATGAAAATAGAATGTGCTTGCCTGGTTGTGGCGACAGTGGTCAGTTGTGTAGAAGGCACGTCCTTTGACCAGGGCTCCCTTGGAGGGAAAGCCAGATCAAAGAACTGAACCCCGTGGTCCGGAAGGGGCCCCAAGCACACAAGATACACAGGCAGCAATGAGAATTCACCCTCACTGGGAAGCGGGGAGATCCGGAGGTGGGCCCATTTCTTCTCAGCAGACTAACTAGCCAGCCTTTCACATGTGGCTGCTGCCTGCCTCTATCAAAGCAGCAGCTCTGTGCTGCCCTGAGGCTGCACCTCTTTGGTCAGTTGGAGAAGGGCAATGGGACGCAGGTAAACGCCACCACCCTTATATTTGGTCTTCGCATGGTCTCCTGGACCTGGCACAAGATTAGGTGTCTTGGACCAGACCTCTGTTGACACTTAAGGCCAACAGGGGCAGTGCTCTTGGCTGAACTCCCTCAGTCACCCCAATAGCTTGCAGCAGAATGAGAAGCTGTGATGAGCAATATGAATCCCCTTCCAACACATAACCACACACCCCAATGTGCATCAAGTTCTGGTCTCTGAGTTCGAGACCAGCCTGATCTACAAGCGCTAGTTCCAGGACAGCCTCCAAAGCCACAGAGAAACCCTGTCTCAAAAAATGAAAAACAAACAAACAAACAAACAAAGACTCCAGATGTTTCTATACCTGTACCCTGACTTCCCTGACACCAAGTAATTCATGGGCAATTGTAGAAACGCAAGAGGTTAAGTTGCTTACTGCCTTATAATGGTAATATCCAGTAGCCTTAAAAGAGCTGGTGAGAAGCTAAATTAACAGAGGGCATGCAAGTCAGTCACAGGGGAAAGATGTGAGGTGAGAGGCTATGGAGAGGCTTAAGCCGCTGCACCAGTCCTCACTGCTGCCCTTCATGGACACTGTGCTCTACACGGTTTGAAGGTGTGCGCTGACCCTCTGCTGAGCACATCTGCTGGTAATATGCCTTCACTTCAGCTCTCAGTGTCTTTGTTTCAGTAACCCTGCCAGTGTTCCCAATGTGTTCATTATCACTACATTTGTACTGGTGATCTGGGCTCAGTGACGTTTGCTGGTGCTCTGTTATGTAATTGTTTTTGGGGTGCCCCTGACCTGTGCCTGTGTAAGACAGAGAACTGCACATCAGTAAATGCTTTAAGTGTTCTGGCTGCTTTGTCAACCAGCCGATGTCTTTCTCCATCTCCCCAGGCTTCCCTATTCCACAAGATAGAACAGTACTGAAATTAATAGCCACACAGTGGTTTGTATGTGTTGAACTGAAAGAATAAAGTACACATCTCTCATTTTCAGACAAAAGCTAGAAATGAGCAAACTTGGAGAAGAAGGCATGGCCAAGGCCAAGACAGGATGGAAGCTGGCCTTCCGGTACCAGCTGGCCACGCAGTGAATGAGTGAATGTGAAAGGAAGGCTCACGAGGGAGACTGTAAAAAACAGTCAGTGCACACAAAAATGACAGCAGAGCACAACAGCCAGATGGCCAACACGGTTTGGTGGTCTGGACAAAAAAATCAAATTAGCTACCACATTCCTGTAAGATAAAGCCCAACCCACGTTCCTCGCTTCTGTGGAGCTGGGCACCTTAGGGATGTGTGACTCATGGGGACTCCGGAAAGCTGCTGCCTCTGTAACATGACTGAACAAGGCTAAGTGGCACTTGGGGTAGACGCTGTGGCAAACTGGCTGGGTGTGGCCCCCCAGGTCTGTAGAGCTGCTGTGTAGGAAGTGGAGGCGACTTAGTGAGACATCTTAGGACAGAACAAACTAGGGCGACAACTACCAAATCCCTCTTTACTGTATAAATAAATATCTTATTATAGCAACAGAAAGCTAATACATCATTTGAAAGGCTACAGCTGCCATAGCTAGTGATTCCTCTGATGGTTCTGGGTGAAATAATTTAAAACCCTTCTGGGAATGACCACTCCAGATGTTATCAGGAAGTCCTGGGCTGAGGGTGTACGTCAGAGGCAGAGTACTTGCCTAGTATGTGCGAGAATTTGGTTCCAATCCCCAGCACCACATACAAAAACGTGACTCCTAGGAGAAGGGGAGTGTCAGGATTGACTCCAGCCCTTGTGTATGATGTTGAGGGCTCCAGATTTCAGCAGAGTTAACTGTGGATGTGGCAGGAAAAGGGAAAGAACCAGAACCAGAAGCAGGCTGGGAATGTGATGGTGAGCTGCCCTCTCACACAAGGCTTTAGCAATGAGTCTTCTCACACATGAGCAAAAGCAGTGGTTCCCTGAGATGGAGTCTATGCCTGGTAGAAAAGCTGTAAGTATTGCTGTCGATGTAACAAAATGGAATATTCGGAGTCAGTTGAAAAAGCAGCAGCCAAGGGATTCACTCTAATTTGTCATGTTTTACAGGAAAAAGCCATTGAGCCACTCTGTAGCTTAGTGCTGGGTTTGCCTAGCACTCACGAGAGTATGGGCTTAACCCCAGACTCCACAAAAACAACAGCATGACATACGAGAGAAACATTTCATGAAAACAAGAGCCTAAGGACACAGTGACTTCACTGTCCTGTGTAAGCAATTGCCATAGACACCCCAAAATCAGAACCAACACTGATCTGTTACCAACCACCGTCAACACCAAGGTTTCATTTTTCCAATCGCAACTCACTAGAGGTGTTTTTTGGTAATAAAATATTCTGAAACTGTCACATGCATTGTTTAGACAGAATTCTATCATACAGCCAGTAAACTACAGCATAGTGTAACCATAGCTTCCAAACACGCAGAGAAACCAAATGTGTCATGTGACTTGCTTTGCGGTGGTATTTGCTTTCTTGGGAGGTCTGGAACTGCTCTGGTTTAGAAACCTCATAGGACATTACTCAAAAGATTGTTCAGATGCCCTCTTTTTTTTTTTTTTTTTTTTTTTTTTTTTTTTTTGGTTTTGGTTTTTCAAGACAGGGTTTCTCTGTGGCTTTGGAGGCTGTCCTGGAACTCACTTGGTAGTCCAGGCTGGTCTCCAACTCACAGAGATCCGCCTGCCTCTGCCTCCCGAGTGCTGGGATTAAAGGCGTGCGCCACCAACGCCCGGCTCAGATGCCCTCTTAAATAAAACACCACCTGCACCAGGCTAGGAACTAAGTGCATGGCAGAAGAGTTAGTGTGGCCTTGTTGAAGTATGTCACTGTGGAGGTGGGCTTTGAAGGCTTTGATGCTCAAGCTAGGCTTCATGTGACACAACTCCTGCTGCCTGTAGGTAAAGATGTTGGGCTCTCAGCTTCTTCTCCAGCACCATGTCTGCCTGCATGATGACAATGGATGGACTGAGCCTCTGAAACTGCAACCTGCCAACCTCACTTAAATGGTCTCCTTGTAAGAGTGGTCCTGGTGTCTCTTCACAACTATAGAAACCCTAACTAAAACACTGCCTTTCCCTTTGCATCAGAAAAGCATTATTTCACGGTAGCACACCCTCTTCTGGTCAACTTGAAGAAAAACCAAATGACAAGTTTCTACAGCTTCTCGATGTTTTAGTGGGACAGAGATCAGCAGGTGTGACAGAGTTCACTGCTCAAAGTCTGTACTGCCCCAGAAGCACTGTGCATACCAGGTCAAACTAAGACACAGTAAAGTATAGCAGGCTTTCTTGGACTGCCAGCCCACAAATCATGACGCAGAGACTTACTATAAATTATGAAAGCTCAGCCTTAGTTTAGGCTTGTTTCTAACTAGCTCTTATCACTGAAATTAACCCATTTCTATTAATCTACGTGCTGTCACACGGTTCGTGGCTTTTATTCCTCCTCCCGAATGTCCTGCTTCCTCTCCATCTCCTTTAGTGTCTCTCTCACCTAGGTTCATCTCTTTTCTCTCTGCCAGGAAGTCCGGTCTAACCTCTTCCTGGTTAGCCACTGGTCACTCAGCTCTTAACGAAACCAATCAGAATGTGCCTTGGCAAAGACACATCTTCACAGTGTACAAAATGATTATTCCACAAGAGTAAAACTGTGCCTAGAGTTTGAATTCCAGATCTGCCACTTACTGGCTGTGGGATCTTGGATAGTTTCTTAAGTTTCTCCACTGCATTGCCTGGAAAAGACAGAGTAGCCATGGCAGGGCTGCTGTATGCCCTGAGTGTCAACCATGGGGAAAGGAGTAACCTACAGGAGACTAACATCCAGACAGTCTGCTCAGAAGACAGGCGGGTGTCACAGATGATGCTGACCCTTGCACAGAGCCTGCTATTGCTCCATGAGAACCCTGGCAAAGCTGCGTGAATGTAAGTGACAATGCAGGCAAAATCCTTAAAATCTACCAGGGGGGGGGTCAAGGAGCTGGGGTGACACCAGAATGCATTTCAATAATCACTTTTATTAGCAGAGAAGCCCCCACTAGTACTTACAGAGTGCAAAAAGGTTGTTATTAACCTCTGAATGTGGGATAATGTTTATCCTTCACACAGAAAAAGAACACAGAAATCCTCTTTGGTATAATCCACTAATTTTGCTAGTTTTTATTAGAGCATTACAATTAAGACATTAAATTATAAATTGAGGTGGTATATTTAGAAATTAAATTACAAAACAATACAAATACTTTTAAGGTGTAATGTGCCAACCAAGTTTAAATGTTATCATTACCCAGGGTTCAGTTTATGATGTATACAAAGGTTGAAAGGGGCAAAGGAGAAGGAAAGATGTTTGCGAAGAAAATATTCCACAAAAATTTAAATAAAAAGATAAGCTTTCAGCGAATTAAATTAATGTTCTAATCTGTTGGCACAATGTACAGAAAATACTTACATGATAATTTCTTAAGCAAACAGCAGCTTTACAAACAGTAATACTTTATACATATATTAAAGTAACAATGTGTTACGATTTAGCAGTTTTGTGTTAAGAGTCAAAATGAATGCAAAGATCGCTCTTTATTTGCACATTGTAACCCCCCCCCCACTTTTCCTGGTTATTAGAAAAATCACACAAGTATGTTATTTGGATATTAATTTGTCAATATTTAAATTATTTGATTCCTTTTGACTAATTCTTTTCCAAATACTGGAAGCATATAAAATACCATCTCTTCAAAAATGATTCCAGCCAAAGCCTGTAAAAACTTTTCAATGTATAACATGTGTTACTTTTCTATGTTTAGTCAAAAGAAATTATATTACATCATTTACAAAGATTAAAACCAAAAAATTAAGCTATTATGAACATCTCTCTGTCTTTGAGGAGTAATCATCACAACAAACAAGCCCACCAAGGAGGGAGTCAAACCAGGAAGTAAAATTTATACTGTAATTTATGTACTGATAGAAACCGAACACTAATTATTGCCAGTAAAACTACGTCTATACACTAAGGAAAAAAATCAGTTTTTATTTCTTGTGCTGATAAACTTGTATTCTTACCATTAGATTTATTTCTAAGTCTCAAAGAGTGAGTGATACCTATTTCCAAAAATAAGACTTTCCTATGTCTCATGCCTCCTCTAAAGCCTGGAACCCAATATACACGAACACCCCAAATTTACCCAAAGGAAACATATTATAAAGACATCGCTGATGCGTACTGAAGGGCATTCAGCATGGAAGAACTTCCTTTGATAAATTTTGGACTGTCCTCTAGAAGGGACTAGTTTCCCCTATAAAGTCCATGGTCCCTTGGATTTGTGGCAAGAAAGCCACTGACTTTCAGGGGCCACCAGCTGACCTTCTGACAGCTACAGACAAAGCAAGTTATTGCTGTTTCCAAGATTTCCTCAACCTCTGTTTGGGTACAAAGGTCAAAACTCTAAAATGATGATCCACATCCAGAAGAGAATAAAATATAAGAAATCTTTGAAAAGCCACTACCTTAAGATCAAGAGCATCTGAACCACTGACATCAAGCAGGAAATAGCATCATGAAGAATAAGAAAAGTTTTCAAATCCACTTTCAAAACTGTCAGTTGCTCAAAACCTCTATCATTTCTTTAAACAAGTTAAGGCTTCCAAATATGCAGACAGTAAGAATCCACCCATATAAATCACACTATGTCAGCTTCATTCCTTACGTCTAACTGAAGTATCAGATAATTAGTGCCTAAACTCTACAGTTTAAACTGAGAGTATACTACTGTCCCCTTTAGCACACTAATCAAGTTGACTGACATTTCTTAAATATATAAAGCAATGCTCCTAAACTTTCACAATTTACAAATACCATACCATCAGTCAAGAATCTTGTCTCTCCAGCATTAAATGCCAGCATTATAAAACCTCCAAATTTTCACAGGAGGTCCCAATTATTTCTCTAACTTGTCTCTTCTGCCTCTGGGAGGCAAAGTCCTGCCCCACATAACCAGGAGGAGAGATATATACCCAGCTGCTGCCTGCTTCTGGGAGTTCATAGGGAGAAAGCTCCTATGTCCATCTGTGTACTGGTAGCTGGGCATGAAGCAAAGGAAATGAAGACAAAAGACAGGTGATGTTTGATTCTCCCATCTCAGAAAAACTTGCTGAAGACAGCAGAATCCAGGTGATGGCTGGACAGTCAACAAAACAGCTCATTAAGTTAAGATTCTCCCAAACACACACACACACACTCTCTCTCTCTCTCTCTCTCTCTCTCTCTCTCTCTCTCTCTCTCTCTCTCTCTCTCTCTCTCTCTCTCTCTCTCCTAGATAAGGGTAGAGATAAATAATCATGAGCAAAATTAACTTCTGCTTACACATGAATCTAAGAAATCATCTGAAGGATCTACACAATTAGAACAATCTTCTCTTTTCTCCTACAGCTTCTTCCAAACCTTACCTGAACATGTCACAAACTGTACAAAAGTCCTTTCCCTCACTTCCTGTAACTGTGGTTCTTGCCATAAGGAAGGTGCAATTTAAAAAAAGATGAAATGACTTTCAATGTGGACTTGTTTGAACATGCAAACAGATCCACGCCTCAGAACAAGAGGGTCCTAAAGCAAAACGGAGCAGTAGGACACAGCAGGACAGTCTTGCTTCTGGGGGTGCTCAGGGAAGCGCTGTGGTGATACAAACCTGTACACCAGTCATCTATCAGTGTCTGCTAACTTTACACACTATGTACAAGAGCATTCCTGAGGTAAGAGGCAAGTGTTAGACAGAACCCGGCAAGTTGCACCATGGTGACTGTTTGCTCTTACAGACATCTATCCCTTTCCACAAGCGAGGCCAGTGTTGGTGGTAACGCTCCAGTGCTTGCCTAACTCCTGCAGGCTGTTTCAGCCCATCCCGACTTTTGTGGGTTACAATGACCAGTGCCTTCTGAAATAAACAAAGTAAAATCTGCAGCCATTTTGTAATGAAGAGTGCTGGGCAACTTTGAGGCCCTGACAGCACCTCCAGCACTTTTCAAAAGCAGCTTCCATGACTCCAAGACAAATGACTGCAATCAAAGACTGGTCCTTATAATCCTAATCTTTAGTTTGTAAAATAGCCTTAAATAGCCATTAGCTGTATTTCTTTAGAATTTGGTCTTCTTTCTTTAATCATTTTTTCATTACAAAGTAAGTTGAAACAAGTCTGAATTTTCTACACAATTCTTAGAAATTGATTTGAACACTAGTTAAAAGTGAAGCTAGAGATCTAACAAAATAGGTAAAAGCTACAAAAGGTCTGTTGGGAATTAAAAACATAGTAAGTAACTGGACAGTGGAAAACGGTGAGCTGGAGCGTCAGGGACATGGCTGCTGCTGGACACAGCTGGAGACAGCCGACACTTCCTGAGTTAGAGATTTGGGGGAGCAGGATTGGAATCAGAGTGCTCTTTGTTCACGGAGCTGCTGGGCTTCGGCTGCTGCTCAGGGGTCCAGCTCTCACTGTCCACTCCTGATTCCAGCCCCTCAGGTGCTTCTGCCCACTCCTCTCCACTCTGCTCTGCGGTGTCTTCCTCGGAGCCAGGAGGGGCCTTGCCCAGCTGAAGGGTTTCCATAGTCCTCTGGGTCTCTGAGACCCAGGACTCGATTCTACTATTGAGTTGCACTTCTACTGATATGGGTTCATGAGTATAATCTTCCTCCTCCTCCTCTTCTTCCTCCTCCTCCTCTTCTAGCATGCCGGGTACAAGAGTGCTGGTGGTGCTGGTGATGGAGGAATTCAGAAGGTCTCGGCAGCTGCCATCCAACGAGCCCGTCTCTGTGCTCTGCTGGGAGGCCCACTCCAGGTCGTCCGGCTTCAGTTCGTCCTTGTCACTTACGGGCTTCCCCTGGCTTGGCGCTGAGGTAGTGCTGCCTGCAGCCAGCGGTGGCTGCTTACTCACAGGGGTTGTGTCGAGTGTGAGTTTACTGGGCTTCTCAGAAGGGCCCTGCTTACAGGGAAGCTCTTTCTCGTTTTCTGACGTTTCCAAGCCATCTGAAGTTTCCACCATGCTTCTCCAATTAGTTTCTACAAGCAGGAACACAGTTTGAGAATCAGAAGCACTGTTTCAGAATAATGGAACTTATTAAAAAACAAAAACAAAACAGGGGCAGGAATAACAAATTTTGCTGGCTCAGCAACTAAGTGAGGGAAAATTAAACATTTAGTTTGTTCTACAATGAGTTTAAATGTTATAAAAATGTTCAAAACAATGTGCAATCAAATGAAGAACTTAAGAGATAAAATGCAAGCCTGGTGTTGGCCACGCATGCCTTTAATCCCAGCACTTGGGAGGCAGAGGCAGGCGGATCTCTGTGAGTTCAAGGCCACCCTGGTCTACAGAGTGAGTTCCAGGACAGACCCCAAAACAATACAGAGAAACCTTGTCTCAAAAAAACAAAATAAAACAAAACAAAAATAATAAAATAAAAAGATAAAATGCATCAGAGATAAAATGTATCAGAGAGATACATTCTTTAAGAGATAAAATGTACCAGAAAGCAGACTATATGCCAACAGAGCTGCTCATGTATAAACCTGCATATGAAAACCAATGCACTATCTCTTGGTATTTGTGTTCCCTACAGCTATGCTGACTTCAAGGAGCCCCAATTCACAGGCATTCAAGCCAAGATGTCCAGCAAAAATAAATTCTGACTTCAAGGGTCTGGAAAAGCACATCATCTACGATTGAGTCATGTTTCATTTATACACAACCAATCTAACCCCGTATTTCTAGTGGGAAAATCCGACTCAACACACGTAACTTGGCTTACACAGCTTGTCACATAACACAATGCTAACAAAATCACTTTTATGAACCAGTGATGGGGGAAGTCCTGTGTATATGTCAATAAATGAGTGTGGCTCTCCCATTCTTCTAGGTTTATTTTTAAGTAAAAATATCCAATTACCTTGCAGGATTTGCATTTTATAGGAGTAATAGTATTATCATGCAGCAAAATGAGAAAACTACATTTAATAAATACTGTGTAAGCCACAGGTTGTACCCATTAATGCAGATGGTATTTGGAGCACTTCAGTCAGGACAGTTTATTCAGAAAGTGAAAACAAACAAGAAGCCTTTCTTCCCTCCAGTTGCTTCAGTATAGGCCAGATCCTTCCCACTCATTCCTACGTTATGGATGCGGTCTACCCCTCCTATGTGCTGAGTCTCACTAGTAACACAATCATTCATGGTGTAAAAGCACGAGAAGTCGCTGGGCGGTGGTGGCGCATGCCTTTAATCCCAGCACTCGGGAGGCAGAGGCAGGCGGATCTCTGTGAGTTCGAGACCAAGCCTGGTCTACCGAACAAGTTCCAGGACAGGCTCCAAAATAATACAGAGAAACCCTGTCTCGAAAAACCAAAAAAAAAAAAAAAAAAAGCATGAAAAGTCAGCTGTTTGGGAACCCTTGTCCCATATTTCTTCCTTATTCTGCACCCCTATCCCATGGAACTCATAACTTTGTGTGACTTCTAGCTCAAAAACTACATCTGGTCACTGCTGTCTTAACGCAGATCTCAATCTCTTCATCCCTCTGCTATATGTTCCGAGCTTACTTTGGAAGATGGCTTTGTCTCTGTCTAACTAGTTTTTGGTGTCCTTAAGACAAGATTCAAACTCCTTAGATGGCACCTGGGAGCCCCTCACCATCTGACCTTACCCACCCTTCTTTCTGGTTCCACTGCATCCTGCAAGCTACCCTGAGTAAGATTAAAGCCTCACAGTCCCCACAGTCACAGGATAGATGTCCCATGTTGCACTGCTGTGGAAGTCCTCATGCCCACTGCTTCCCAGGAGAGGTTCATGGACCGAACCCACTGCACTTTACATAACCACTCAAAAGCACTTATGTCTGCTATTCCATCCTCATCCTTCCTCATTCCCACCAGGGGATCCCTTGTTTGGTTTGGAAGTAGATGACTTATCGGAGCCAAAAGCTAACCTGGTTTAGCAGAGGAAGGGGTGGGCAAGAGAGAGTGGCTTTCATTTGATCTTGGACAGCCACACTACTACTCTGTTTTCACACACACACACACACACACACACACACACACACACACACACACACACTCACACACCCCGCCCCAGCGCCTGCTCCTCTGGGCTCCAGGGCTTGAGGTGCTGCCACCTGCTCCCCACCCATCTTGGACCCTGGAAACCAAGAGTGGCAGCCCCCAGCTGTCCTCGGCAGGCTGCCCCAACCAGACAGGAATCGCATTATGGCCAGGAAGGGTCTTTTATTCCTATGGTTTCTAATACTGTAAACTCTCATTTCAGGATTTGTAATTTGGTCATCTGACATGGTTTCCCAAAGAAAATTCTGTCTGTCTTTCTGCTGAAAAAGTCCCATCTATTCTGTGTACATGGAAATGTGAGGCCACTGAATGCTTGTTTCTGACTGGTTTTGAATGTCTGGGTTTACATGTTCCGTCTGTCCTGGTAACAGCTCAGCTATTGCTATTACAACTAGCTGCCTGGGCTCAGAATTTGTCTATGGGCTTCGCTGAATCTGATATGATGACAGAGAAAGTTATTTTATGCTGTTCTACCTTATTAAACAAAAGCAGCTCAGAAATTGGGTATGGCTAAAAATCTGTCACAAAAAGTTAACTTAAAACTTGTAATTGCAAATAGGAATTTTTCTGGGAAATGACACGTGGTCTGCTGCCATTTTGACTAAGGTTACAAAGAAGAGGTCATATGACTTCACCACTATCTTAAATGAAGTAGAACATGTGGAGTGAACCCACCCAGGAGATATTAGGTCTCCAAGTTATTTTACATTAGGATAGATTTGTATATGATAATTCCTGTCCTGTCGTAAAACCAGGCTTATGAAAACTAGGATTTAAAAATGAGGTATTAAAGCTGCCCCTCCATGCATCCATGTATTTTGCTGACAGCCAGATTTTTGTAACAATGTTAAAACTTAGTTTTGCCTCCCACAGATTAAGATTGTGCTCTGTTTTAGGACCATAATTGAACACCAGAGACTACAATATTCCTATTCTATGATGCAGCAAGACAATGACCTAAACAGTACGACAAAGGATCTCTCCTTATCTAAAGTCTATTCAGGCTAACAAAGACCAATTTAAAATATATGTCTAACCTTCTTGCTTTTACTAACTTTGGTAAGCTGTAGCTAATTTGGTAAACTAAGTCATACAAAAAAACTATTACATATGTTCTCAAAGTTAAGCCTAAGCAATATTATGCCTAACAGATAATGATACCCTGATCCTCAAACACTTCATAGATCTGAGAATATGGCATTTTAATAAAAAGCTTCTCATGATAGAGGCATGCCAGCTGCTGGCAGCACCCTGTGTCTCTTTCAAGGAAGATGGGCGACCACAGAAGAGCTTCCGTCTGGAAGTTTGCTTTAAATGTAGGCCAAGCACAGAGCAGAAAACAGCTTTGTGCTTTAACTGTTGCCAAGACCCTGTCCAGACTGTGGACAAGCAGGACACTGGGGAATTGACTGGTCTGCTTTGTCAAGACAAGGTAGGCCACTCTCCCCAATTTCCTACTCCATAGGAAGTCTGTCAGAGCTTCTGGGCCTGGCAGCTGAAACTAGTAACTGCCCTGGGAACTTTGTTCCCAACAACCATGGAGAAACCTGGGCCAGCTGCCCTAGGCAGCTGCAAAGCTGCCTCATTTGTACCTACTCACTCAGGTGATATTTATCCTTCTCAGATCTGATGGCTGCTGATAACTTCACCAGGGTAACAATTCTCCCCCAAGCCCCAAGGCTACAACTACCTTGGTAGCTCATTAGTTCATCAGTTAAGTTTCCTGTTAAAGACACAGACAGGTTTGCCTCATTCACAGGCTTCATAGTACAAGATAAACAGGTTTCAGATGTAGCTTTGGAGGTTCAGAGTTTTTGCACTGATAAGTCCAATTTTGATAAACCGATAGAGGTCTTTTCAGCATGACTGCATTGTCTTCAGCCACGTGACAAAACTCTGCCAAAATGCCAACTCTTCCCCCTCTGAAACAGGTTAGCATTAAAGAGGGTACAGAACCCTGCAGGTGTGTTCAACTCCATCCTCCTTCACTCACTCAACCTCTTTCGTTCAGTAAATTTCCTCTTGGTTGTCTTCTAAAAATGTTCATACCTTTTAACTCAAAGCCACAGCCCTCTGCTATGACACCAAGCTGTAAATCTGTTCCAACTGTTTTACAGACACCTGCAGGATCCCGGAGAAATTGTTCTGCTACTATACCAAGAAATCTGGCCTAGTTGAAACCCTAGAGGCCCTCTTTTGACCTCACCCATCTTCGAGCCCATATCTTACAGGCCCACTCCTCGAGCCAAATACACCAGCCCCTGCACCAGCTAGGAGGACACTAACCAGGCAAGTACTGGCAGGCTGACTTCAGCCACATGCCCACTCATAAAAACCCCAGTATCTCTTAACTCTAGGTGACACCTTTACAGGATGGATGGGGGCACACCCCACCTCCAGGAAAACAGCAGATGTGATGGCTCAGGTACTCCTGAGACACGTCACCCTTCGATTTGGTGTGCCACCCTCCCAAGCTCCTGGGACATCAGTGCTGGTACCACCTCGCCAGGCAGGTACCTATCCAGCAACTGGGACCTGGTTTTCCAAGATGTCCCAATGAAGGTCTTATCTGCTTGCACGGTTCGCTCTTTCACCCTTGCCTCTTCTACAAACCAGGGCACTTCTGGGTCCCATTCTTTCTGGCCATCTTCTCTCTTCCCACGGCTAGCCTTGTTCATAGGGCCAATGTTAACAATCTACCCCCCCCCCCCCGCAGAAACCTGCCTTCTCCACCTCTTCAAGGAACAGATTCCTGAGGTCTCTAGGATGGCAATTAACAGAATGCTTCTTCACCCATATCTCCCAATGAGTGTGAGTTCACCAACTCCCGACTCTCCATCCCCACACCATCCCTACCAAAAGAAAGTAGACAGACTTGAACCAGCACCCATATATACTCAAAAAGGTTGGAAAGTTGGGGATCTCCACTCTGGTATCACTCCCCTATTCCAAACCCTGCCCAGATATTTAGCTGGGAATTTGGCACCATCTCTCTCTCCCTCTCTAGACCTTGCCTTCAGAAAGCTCTTCCCCCAGAACTGCTCAAGACCTTGCCTACAGACTACTTAAACTCCGTCCCTAGAGCTGCCATGTGATTTCTCTCCTGTCTTTCCTGAGAATCACCCAGGACTTGCTGTGCTCACATTAAACCTGGTCTTAATTAAGTTTGATTTGGCTTATTGCATTGTCGGAGAAACTGACTACTGGGAAAATAAACTACTTATCAGAAGTGGATCCACAAAGCTATGCCCTGACCACAGAACATGCTGTGTCAGAGGAGTGCCACATCCTGTCATGCGCATGCACACATGATAAATATACTTTTAAGAAATAAAAATGAGGTATTATTTCATATATATTTAATTATGAAAAATAAAGCCTTACAGCCACATTTGCATTTCCTTCATTGACTTTTCTTTATCCTAAAGAGAGGTTCAGCATTTAATTACTTCTTGGAGAGTTTTAAAAATAAAAACTAAGGCTTCCCAAGTGCTGGGATTAAAGGTGTGGGCCACCACTGCCCAGCCAGAAGCTTCTGGAGAGGTGTTGCCTTGTTGGAAGAATTAGGTCACTGTTGGACGGCTGAGGTTCCAAAAGCCCACACCAAGGCCAGTGTCTGTCTGTCTCACTATCTATGAATCCGTTGTAACCCTCAGCTCCTGCCCCAGCCCCACGTCTGCCTGCCCGCCTCCACGCTCCCCACCATGGTGACAATGGACTGAACCTCTGCACCATAGCCAGCTCCACCTAAACATTTTCCTTTATGAGCTGCTGTGGTCATGGTGTCTCTTCACAGCAATGGAACAAGTGACTAAGACAAAATGTGACTGATGTCCAGGGTCTTAAAGGGCAGTATCAGTAGCCCTGGTTGTCCTGGAACTTGCTAAGTAGACCAGGGTGGCCCTGGAACTCATAGAAATCCACCTGTCTCTGTCTCCCAAGAGCTAGGATTAAACGTTGTACTTTCATGTCCAGCTAAGTACTCTATTTTTAATAATAATGTTTAAACTAATTTTTTTTTACTTTTTAAATCTAGACTATCTGTCTTTTATTAAACTAATTTTTAAGCTCAAATTTGATAATCGAGAATAGGATATATGGATTGGAGATATGGCTCAGATGATGGGAGTCCTTGCTCAGTTTGCATGGAGTTCTGGGGCTTGCTGCCCATTGTCATACAAATTGTGTGTGGTAGCACACACTAGTAATCTCAGCACTTGGGAGATAAGACAGGGGGAATCTGAAGTTCAAACTCATCCTTATCCATACAGTGAGTTCAAGGCCAGATTTTAAAAAAATATATAAAAACAAACAAGAAATACAATGGAAATTATATACAAAATGGTTTTAGTCACTTGAATTACTTCATTTAAACTGGTATGGGACGACTTACCATACTCCTTCTCGTTTACTTCAGAAATGGGTTCAGAAATGACACTGCAGAAAGAAATAGCACTTGCTGCAGAGGGGTTCCGAGAATGGCCCATGTGGTGAGGCACTGTCTTCACACTCTTCAAGGCTTCCTCTGCTTGCTCCTGCTCCGTTGCTGCAACCATGTCTTTATATGCCTTCCTGGCTTCTTCAGTGAGCTCCACTAATCTATTAAATAGACTCTAAAAAGACAGAGATTCCTCTGTGACCTAGTCATTCTTTTTAATTAAGATTTTTACATTTTTAGCCCGGATGAAATTTGGGCAGTTTGTAAACAACAGAAGCTTACAAAATGTACTTAACACACATGTGGCTTATTAATTTCCATAGGGTTGAGAAAACTAATTCTAACACTAGCCTCTAAATGCAAGGTATTTAAAAGGTTCAACCAACACTCCACTTTAGTCTGCACTACAGAGAGTACTCCCCTTTAGGCTGGCACTACAAAGAGTAAGAATGGAACATCAACTCTTCTCCTACAGAGACTTGTGTATGACTGTAAGGGAAAGACATCATAGTAGCTCAAGTGCCTGCAGAGGTTTCTGGCTTCTTGTTTTACAAAACAAACCAAACAATACCACCACAAATTAACAGCACTGTAGCTTTTTTTTTTTTTTTTTTTTTTTTATTGGTTTTTCGAGGCAGGGTTTCTCTGTATTGTTTTGGAGCTTGTCCTGGCACTCGCTCGGTAGACCAGGCTGGTGTGGAACTCACAGAGATCCGCCTGCCTCTGCTTCCCGAGTGCTGGGATTAAAGGTGTGCACCACCAACACCCGGCTCAGCCCTGTAGCTTTTAAAGAAGACATTAAATCTGACTGTGGGGATCACGGAAGAATTCAAGAATACTAACATTTGATGCAGAACTTGAAAACAGGTACAGTTCTAAGGCAGTTCTGAATAGCTAAGCGCGTTAAACACAATCAAGGGAGACGCAAGAGAAGCACAGACTGGTTTGGGGGCAGTGGCAGTCTTACTTGGGTTAGAACATGAGGGAATGAGCATGTGGAGGGAGGTCAGGGGTACAGAAAGTAGCAGTTATCAAAGTAATTTAAAGTCCTCTAGCCAGGTGTACTGACAGATACCTTTAATTTTAATCTTGGGAGAAGCAGGCAGACCTCTGTGTATTCCAGTTCTGCCAGAACTTTATAGTGATACCCTATCTTCCCCCACCAAAAACAAAAATCAAACAACAGCAACAACAAAAAAACCCAACTTTTCTGGAATGCTCACTTGTGGGAAGAACTGAAAAGCGGCTGAAAGGAAGTTGGTTTGTATAACAGTTAGGGCTTATGATGGCTAAAAGCATGATTACTGGACCAGAGGCAAATTATAAAAACAGAAGAAAGAGCCTGGAAGTAGATTAACCTAAACTTCCCCCACCAGTAGAACAAAAATTGCTATGAATGAAATAAATAACCTGAAGTGAAATGGAGTGGAAATGGGGGATTCTCCTGTTTAACAGAATGGCGACATTTACAGAGCACTAACGCTGCACTTCAACATCTGTATCTCATGACATTCTCAGGCACCAAAAGAGACAAAGCCACTGCTTCCCAGATCATCATTCAGAAAGACTTTGTGTCCGGTAAATGTGTTTTGTTTTGGATTTGCGTTTGTTTGGTTGTTTTTTTCTTTTGAGACAGGGTTTCACCATGTAGCTCTAGCTGCCCTGAAACTCACAGAGATCCTCCTGTCTCTGCCTCCCAAACACTGGGATTAAAGGTGTGCGCCACTATGCCTGGCACTTGTGGCACAGGTTTTAACGTCTTGGTTAGTAAGACAACAAACACACATCATCAGAGAATTTCAACATGGCTTCATATAGAGTAAGTTGAATTTTATATATAAAATACATTTCACGACAAGGGTGCCACACTGCTGCTTAGAGGACTAGGAGCAATGAACAACACTGCTGTGCTGACTGACAAGGCAGGAACTGCTGCAACTAGCTGTCAAACACATACTTTATAGAGGAAAAAGAATGGCTAAAAGCAGCCCTTCATGGACCACTAATAATGAGCACTAGATCTGTAGTGTGTAACAACCACACATTTAAATGAAACCAGTACAAAGAAAATAGGCATGAATATTTATGATTTTAAGATTAAAATAGTTATTATAAGCAGGATAGACAGAAACAGAAGCTAAAGGACATAAGGGAAGAGAAGAAAATACTGAAGAAAGAAGTTCTGGTCCACTCCTACTCCTTTGAGTCACTAACTCACTCCTGGCATGTGTTAACAGGAAGGAGAAAAAGAATGTGTCTCCTAGTGCGTGTGGGCGTGTGTGTGTGTGTGTGTGTGTGTGTGTGTGTGTGTGTGTGTGTGTGTGTGTATGTGTGTGTGTGTATTCAGATGCACTGCAGGTCAATGGCAGATGCTGTTCCTCAGGGGCCAGTTATCTTGTTTATTAGACAGGATCTCTTTCTGGCCTGCAAAGACCCACTTGTCTCTGGATGCCCCGTCTGGCTTGAGGTGGGTTCCAGGGATCAGACCAAAGGTCATTTACTGACTGAGCCACCTCTCTGGTCCTGTTCCCTAATTTCTTACCTCAGCACCGAAATAGTTGAAGATTCCCACAACACTAACAGGAACCAGCTTGTTCACACAGCGTCCCAGAGCTTTCCTTCCAAGGGCAAACACAAAAGGAATCTCCTGTTCCCGGGCCATGGCTATGACATTGTAGAGGGCCTCATCTAGGCCACCTAAGGAAATCAACACGTGGAGAGGCATTCATTCAGTCACCTTCATGCTGGATGGAGCGAACCAGGCTAAAGAACAGAGTACTGTAGCAAAGAACGTCTTATTTGAACTGTAACACACTCTGTCTCTCCAGTATTTGTCCAGTATTAAATACCAAATTCCTTCAAACCCAGTACTTTAATTTCTCTATCTATAGGAGTTAGCATAGCAGGAATCAAGTTTCAATGTAACAAACATTTATTACGTTGAAACTGTTAAGAGGAGCTAATCTTTTTTTCAGTCTCTAAGCTCCAGTAATGACCAATCATATTTAGGGAGACAAATGAGCATTGTGGCACAGGTGTTTTCTCCGTCAAGTATCTACTACTGCTACTGATAGATACCTCCGTCTGTCTGCCCCACCACCAAGATCAAACAAGGCTGTCTACCATGAGATGTACTCATGTGCTAGCCTACCAGGAGCCTCTCTGTGTGCTGGAGAGTTTTATGTCAACTTGGCACAAGCTAGAGTCATTTGGCAAGAAGGAATCCAATTAAGAAAACGCCTCCACCACACTCGCCTATAGGTAAGCCAATGATGCACTTTTTTAATTAGTGATTCATTGTGGGTGAAGTTACCCCTGTGCTGGTGGTCCTGGGTTCTACAAGAAAACAAGGCTAAAGAGACCATTGGGAGCAAGCCAGTAAGCAGCACGCCTTCATTGTATCTGCATCATCACCTGTCTCTAGCCCAATACCTTGAGTTCTTGCCTTGAGTTCCTGTCCTGACTTCTCTGAAAGATGAACTACAAGATGTAAGGTGAAATAAAACCTTTCCTCCCCAAACTGATTTTAGTCATAGTGTTTTAATCACAGCAATAAAAACCCTAAGATACTATGTAACCAACTGGTTTCTGGGAGACAAATCTCTACCCTAAGCAAAAGCTGAGATTTTTATCTTTTTTCCAATTGTTTTATCTTATTTTGTTTTTGCTTTTTGAGACAAGGTTTCTCTGTGTAGCTCTGGCTGTCCTGGAACTCACTCTGTAGACCAGGCTGGCCTCAGATTCACAGAGATCCGCCTGCCTTTGTCTTCCCAGTACTAGGCTTAAAGGTGAGTGCTACCACTGGCTGGCTTTTGCTAGTTGTTTTGAAAGAGGGAAAGGTCATTAAAGGAAGGTTATATAAAGTTTGCAGAGAACAATATACAGATGCAAAGTAATGCACCCTGGCTAGTTCTAGTCTGATCACAGCAAGGAGACACTCAGTGGGCCCAATGGAGAACTTTACCACTGTTCACACACCTACTTAATTTTAGATATTGGAAGATTTCGTTCTCTCATGCCAAATATTTATTCCATGACTGCATTGTAGAGAAAGATGTGGCTCCCAGCTGTGAGGCTCATTTAAATTCCCTACAATGGTAACAAATAAGTGGTGAACATTTCTGAAGCAAGCATACATACCCTTTGACTGGATCTTCTCACAGTTTGGGGAAATGATAACACACTTGATCTTGTTCAGCTTCATGTGCTTGGTGACCTCCCTCAGCCCCATGACCAGCCGCCTCCTGGCCTTGGCTCTCACAGGGTCCTTCTGGTAGATGCGCTCCTGGAAACTTACAAGCTCTTGCAGAAGGAGGGTCACACATTCATCAATTTCTTTAGAGAGAACCTGATTACAATATCTGGAAAGGAAGCAAAGAAACAGGTAATTCCATCCTAATTTATTTTCCTGTAATGACAGACTTACATTAGGAAAATGTCTTTAAGGGAGAATATATCCAACAGGGCATTTTTATAAAAAGGCAGCAGTCTCTACTATTTCTAAATGCATCAATCAGAAAAACAGCAATACTGAGTATCTTTGCAGAAGCTTTTAGTCCAGGACAGGCTGCCTCAGGGAAATACTGCTGCACTGCTAGTTATTAAATCTCTAAGAATATGAACCGAATGCTGGCTTGCTAAGAGGTCATAGTATTTTATGTCACTGTGATAAATACCAGAGGTGCTTCTAGTAGGAAAGAAATGCAGCTTCTCTGAATTTCCTACTAACAATACATCCTCTTAGGGAAGAGAGGAGCCCTGACACTGCTGATGGTGGAAACCGGTGCAGCACCATGGAAATCAGAACTCAGCTACACCACTCCTGGGTATAAACCTGCAGAACTCCAAGTTCAATGTGTACCACTAGACTATCCACAATAGTTATGAAATAGAACCAGACTTGATGCTTTCCAACATGAATAGCTAAATGAAATTGATAGAAATTTATTAATATATACTGGAATTTTATTCATCTGCCAAGAAAAATAACATCAAGACATTTGCAAGAAAACAAATAGAACTGTAATCATTATGCTAAGTAAAGTTACATAGACTCAAATACTGAACGCTCTCTCATGTAATTTGTGTATGCGCGCACACACACCTGAGTCCAAGTCATGAAAACAGAAAAGGATCAAAGAGGGCAGAAGAGATCTCACAGGAGGGAGGAAAACAGAAGGTAATGAAATGTTTTTTTTTTTTAAGACAGACTAGGTTGGCCTCAAACTCTGAGATCCTTCTGCCTCTGCCTCCTGAGTGCTGGGATCCAGCAAAGGCAATGGAATGTAAACGATGAGAGAAGAGGACTATTGGGACAAAAAAGTGAAGCAGCATACGGTGGGCAGTGGGGAGAAGGAGGCAGCTGGAGAAGAGCATGGATGAGCACAAAGCATAACACTGTGTGTGAAATGCAATCATGAAACCCACCGCTTTATGTGCTAAATTAAAGAAAAAAGACAGGTCTGTGGACAGTTCTTGTTACTGCATAGGCCACTGATCCTTACAGTATATCCAATAAACCTGTTTTATTTTGCTAGAAGAAAAAATTTTATAAACATGCCAAGAAACCTACAAACACTTCATCCTTTGAGTCTGGATAAGTCTCTGCCAGAAAAGCATTTCCAATCACAAAAATAAGTTTGCTTAGATGTTCCAGAAACCTATAGGTAGGCAGAGGCCTTGGGGTAAAAGTCATAGTCTTTTAGTCTTTTACATCACTGTGCACCTAACTGCAGGGCGAGGAAGTCATCCAGGCTTACTTGTGGGCTATCTCACCTCTCCTAGAGTCAGGTGTTCTACATTATACAGTGGGAAGCATGGGCCTGAAAATATGTCCAGGGAATTTCACATTTTCCATGAAAACGTTTAAGCAAATGTGACACAATTTCACAAGACAGAAATGGCTGGACTGAGGAAAGATTAACTGTCATAAACACTCAAAGAATTCAATGTCAAACTACATCTTTCTTCTTTCCTGTTTCAAGCTGTTGGTTTCATACATATGTAATTTACTTTCTATGTGTTTCATGCTCCACATCCGCTGCCTGGCATATAATTAGAGCCTGAAGAGAGGCTTCTGCTCAAACGCTAGAGCTGAGGAGCAGTGAGCACAACAGAGCAGAGGCCGCGGGACCACACTGACTCTCACTCTAGCATTCCTTCAGAAGTCATCTTTAAAGGTAAAACCACCTCATCCACACAAACACTAAAATACGTCACAGCAGTTAACGTGTTTGGGCTGACTGTGTTGCTAAGTGGTCAAACACTTGACCAGGAAGCAAGAGGCCCTGAATTCAAACTCTAGTACTATAAAAATGAGCAAAAAAGAACAAAATGACATGGCTTTATGTGACAAAGAACCCTATTTGCAAGTTTTCTAAAGTACCTATATTATATGCAAAAAAAACCAAAAAACAAAAAACAAAAAACCCGAAGCATCTGAAGGGGCAAAACCCATGGTGTATTACAATCTTTTGGAGGGGAGAGGGGAGTTGAGACAGGGTTTCTTTGTGTAGCTTTGGAGCCTGTCCTGGAACTAGCTCTTGTAAACCAGAATAGTCTTGAACTCACAGAGATCTGGCTGCCTCTGCCTCCCAAGCACTGGCATTAAAGTCATGAGCCACCACTGCCTGGTCGTATATTACCTTCTATATGCACATATACATGATACACAACATACATATGACATAAGAGGCCAGGATTTGGGATAGAAACACCGTGTGTGATAAAGAAAACATATTACTGTGAAATCCCATTCTATGGATACTGACAGCAGAACTGCTTTAAATAGACTCTAACCCTGTTAAACAAGAGAATAGCAGCCCAACCTCCGCCATTTCCACTTACTCGGTAACAAGGACACGAATTCAGAACAACCCAGATCCTTCAACTGTTTGGCCTCAATATTGAGAAAAATAACTTACTCTCGAAATCGTTTGCTGTGGATTTTGGTTATCGTTGACGATGCCATTGGGCTGCCTATGCCAGAACTAGCAGGAGAGCCTTGGGACACAGGTGTCATACAGTATGGAGAGTTCTGACTTGCTGGAGAAAGTGAAGCATCACTGGGCATGCTCAGTCCAGTATCTGTGGAGATGCGAGGCAAAAGGAAAGAACCTGGCAACTTCAAATGCTAAGAAGCTCCAGACAGACACAGACAATTAAGATGGTAGAATTCTCAGGTCATACCTTACTTCTCTGGAAGCTAGTAAGTTAGGTATTTTCCTATCACAAATTATTATTTCTTACAAAATAAAGAATGAAGTATGTAATACTATCATACCCAAGAAAAATCAAGTATAGCTTAGAAATTTTCACAGAGGAGATGGGGAAGCAAAATTATCTGTACCTTTCTGCCCAGCATTATTGGCCATTTATTTCTTAAATCTTTCTTTCTAATTCTACCTGGTAGTGGCAATGACAATCCTACGTCACTTCTCTCCTGACTCTCCTCTTCCTCACCTACTTATCTAGCCTTTGCTTCCATGCTTAGGCAGCCACATTTTTAGATGTAAACTATCGATTTTACCACTTCTTCTTAAGTTGCTGCTTCTGTTCAACAGGTAAACTCGGGAAGTAAATTTGTATGTTCAGTTTAATAATCAACAAAGTTACACATTAATCCTGCTTATTGGATTATCAGCCCCTGACAGTCAGTCTGTGATCATTCTGTTTTCTAGCCCCTTAACCCTATTACTTACTGAACACATCTGGTATCTATTCAAACAAAATCAGAGGAGTGACTGGATTAATGGACACACATAAATCTAAGGGGAATCATATTGAGAATAAAGGGGAATCCCAATCAAGCACATCCTAGATAAATAATGCTTGGGACTAAATTAACTTTTGTAAGAGCACTGAAAAACTTCTGCTTGATGTTTGTGCAAAGCAGATTTACCTTGCTGAAAAATGCTGTGTGGCTACTTACTGTACCAGATAGACCCTGTCTGCTGGAATTACATGTGCTGGGTATGAATGGAATCTTTGCACTACTTTGCAATTCTCTATTCCTTGTGCCTTATGTATTAATTCCCAACAAAGCAAGAAAGGAAATGAATACAATGATTTGAAAACATTCCTATAAAGAAAACAATTGGTAAATAGTGTTTCCTACATAAAAGATGATGAAAGATTCTTATGAGAATCCTGAGAGTCCCATGCACTCTAGAGATCCTAATGTTTGAGATGTTACTACAAATGATAATCTTGCCTCCAAAGTGTCAGAAACCTGCTATATAACACCTGTCTAGCCTTTCAGCCTTCAAAAGAAACCACATAAATCAATGTACATAAAATACAGTGTGCAACTTCCACTTGAGGCACAGTCAGTGAGGCTCTCTGACAACATTGCAGACAGCTATGACAGAAGAGGGTGGTCCTTACCTTCCTGGGAGACAGTCTCCTGAGGCAAGTCATTGGTGAGGTCCAAATGTGTGTCTGTTGGCTCCTCTGTGCCCAAAACACTGTGTTCCACAGTCAGACGTCCCTTCTTCTCCTCTCTTTCTTTCAAAATAACCTGAAAGCCATCACAGCATTCTTCAATCACCATTCACTCTTCAGCTAGGTACAAACTATTACAATGTTATACTAAAACACAGGCACAGCCATGAGGATTTCAGTTGGCTTCATTATCCATTCGCACAAGAGCTGACCTGTAAAAATGTGACTGTTCCTTTAGAAACTGTAGTGGAAGGGAATGCTGTACAGAGAAGACAGGGAGAGTGTGCTAAGAGTGCATAGCCAGACAGACTTCACCTGCCTCCATCTTCAAATAAAGGGAAGAGGATGCTGAGAGCACGCAAACATGCCACATCTGCTTCAATCTTTAAATCCCAGGCGACCAAGAAGGATTTCCCAAACTGAGTAACTTTTAAGTTTAGAAACTGACTCATACAGTTCATGTGATTAACACTATGGTTTTCAACTACTCAATTGCCTGACCCTCCAATACTAAACCAAAGCAGATACTATCATCAATTTATAAGTAAGGACGATGGACGCAGAAAGGTAGCCTAAAGTTGCTCTACTACATACAGAGCAAACACTGAAGTTACTAAGGTCCAAGACTAGCTAGTTAGGAGGCGGAGTGCCTGCCTCAGCTGTATGAGGCCTTGGGTCAGATCTCCAGTATTGAAAAGAGGAGAGGAGAAGAGAAGAAAGTGGTGGGAGCAGAAGGGGAGGCTGGCCAGGAGTGGGGGGGAAAAGGGGAGGTATGGGTGCGGAGATGGCTCAGTGGTTACAGTGCTTGCTGTAGAAGCTTAACATGTGAAGTTTGGATCTCCAGAACACAAAAATGCTAGGTGGGTGTGGCAGAGCACCCATGATTCAGGGCCCAGAGGCTAAGATGTGATTCCTGAAGCACACTGGCTGGCCAAACCAACCTTACTGGTGAGGTCTGGATTCAACTGAGAGACCCTACCTTAAAACAGAGGGGAGAACAAGGTCAAGAGCCACTGAGAAAAGTCAGACATAAGCCTGCCTTCTACATGCAGGCCCACACACAAGCATGCACACACATATACATGCAAGAGAAAAAAATACAAAGGAAGGAAAGATCTGGGCTTCTGATTCCTAAGGAGTTTAATTTTTTGGGATATGAAATCTAAACCTTATAGGAAGATTGACTTTTAGGGCGTTCCTACATGCAAGACGACTGCCATACAATTAACCAGACATACATGGTCATGTTATAAATACATTATAACATCTGCTTCCTAAAACACAACTGAATTAACCAGTCATACACAGTCATGGTATAAATACATTATAACGTCTGCTTCCTAAAACACAACTACATTAACCAGTCATACACAGTCATGTTATAAATACATTATAACATCTGCTTCCTAAAACACAACTAAATTAACCAGTCATACACAGTCATGTTATAAATACATTATAACATCTGCTTCCTAAAACACAACTACATTTGCAAAGAAATAAAAATAAACCCTAGATGACCCTATCAAAGAAACATCTCCAGATTGGGGGTTACCTTTTTGAGTGCTGTGGGTCGTTTTAGCTTTGCAATTTCCTTCTCTTTTCCTTTCTTAGCTTTAGAGGAAGTAATGTCCAGAGAACTACAGGACGTTAAACAGGGCTGACTTTTGGTTAAAGGCTTTCTGTTAGCAGAGTCTTTAGTGTGAAAAGCAGCTGCGGCAGCGACTGCAAACAAACAAGAACATTAGCTTTACTACTGCAGCCAAAGCCACAACTGGACAATTTCCAATATTAAATCTTCAAAACAGCACAGCATTCTCTTTCCATGGAAAAGCACAAAAAGACATGACAGTAACAGGCTCAGCAGAGTCCCTCAGACACAGCTTCTTTCCAAGTCTTTCACCTCCCTAAGATGAAGATAAGTGAACGCAGTTAGCCAGCCAAGAGGTCTGAAGTAAGCCTGGACTGTTAGTTCAACTCCACTGCAGCAGCTGAGCAGGTGCATTCTCTACCCACCTCTGGTGTTCTCCCCATGCTTACAGAGCCGACTACTCACTCTACACACTCTGCAGCCTATGGCTCCTCTTCAGTTGGGTGTCAGGAAGGAGAGCTGGCTCTCACCCACTCTCAGAGCTACCCAGCACCTGTTACACCCCTATTAAATCCTCATTCTTTACCCCTGTTCCGTTAGCATTTCTAAGTCCCTAATCTCAAGCCCTCCACTCCAGCAGAATACTCCTGTCACTTTCTTGAGAAAACACTGTCCAAGTTACAAAAAAAACCCAAAAGGAGGTGACAATATCCTTGCAACTGTCCAAGGCCCATTAACCAACTCAGCTCTTAATGTCGCCTCCGTTCCTCTGGGACCCTGTGCTGTTCCTTTTCACATGTATTTCCTCCACCGCAATCTCTTCTCTAAGCCACCCCCTTTCCATCTAAAAGAAAAGGGGTGTTGGGAGGCAAATGCACAAAGCCTGGTCCCTTCACTGACCTGCCTTCAGCCTAAGGTGCTCTTACTGCCCCATCCCTACCAGTTAAATGTCTCAGCATCGTTCTGACATCATTCCTTTCCAAACCTGGCCTCGGCCCTACCCACTCTCTATTGTAAGTCAAGACCCAACAGGAGGCAAGTGATAGTGGCGCACACCTTTAATCCCAACACACAGGAGACAGAGACAGACAGATGTGAATTCAAGGCCAACCTGGTTCTAGGACAGCCTGGGCTACACAGAGAAACCTGTCCCAGCACCCCACCCCACCCCAGTCCCCCAAAAAGGCCCATTCATTCATTCATTCATTCATTCATGTTTATATATGTGGGTCTTCTTCCTTCTGTTCCTGAAACCTGGTCAGGTCATGGGCTTTTCTCTATTTTAAGTGTACTGACTTCTAATCTGAATTACACATGAATAAGCACATGACAAACGGAGTTACCGGGACCTTGACTGCTAGCATTTCAAGTTAAAGGCCACTGTCAACTCACCTTATGTCACTGTGGTATCCTCACAGCCCTCTTCACTAAGCCATAGAGCACAGGTAGGGTGTTGTGTGGTTGAGGGTGACCTGCACATGTGTGCATATCCATGTGAAGGCCAGATGTTGGTGCTGTGTCTTCCCAATCACTCTCAACCCTAGTTTTTAGGGCATGGTTTCTCACCAAACCTACAGCTCACCAATTTAGCTACACTAGCTGGAAAAAGAACTCCAGGGACCTGCCGATCTCTGCCTCTCTACCACTAGGACACAAGTGCACGCTGCCATCCATGTCTAGCTTTATATGGTACTAGAGATCCAAGTTCAGGTCCTCATTCTCACACGGCAAGCACTTTACTGATGAAGCCATCTCTGCAACACACTGGAGTTGTCTTTGACTATTTCTACAACCTCTATTCCATGCTCCATCAATTCCTTACAAATTTTCACTCCCACACTCACTCCTTTCTTGATTTTCCCAACAGCACTCTTTGTATTCAATACTTTCATGCAGAGACTGGTGATAGAGTCTCACTTCTATCTGCTAAGAATCCTACCCATTCCTCAAAGCCCAACTCAAACACCGTCTCCCAGGAAGTCACTTGTTAACCTTTGTTTCTCTTCATCTACAGCCATCAATCTCTCCCTTCTACAGGCTCACAAAACTCACTAAGGCACTTCTGGTGATCAGTTATCTATGTGTCTCCTCTTCCACTGGACAATAAACTTTTTAAAAAAGATTTACCTTATGTATATGAATGTTTGTCTGCATGGATGCATACGTACCATGTGGATGCTTGCTGTGTATGCCAGAGGGCATCAGGTCCCCTGGATCTGCACTTATGAATGGTTATGAGCTACCACTTGAGTGCTGGGAACTAAAGCCAGGTCCTCTGCAAGAACAAGTGCTGACTGCTGAGCCATTTCAGAGCTGAGTCAGCTATGAGTTTCTCGAGTGAGCCTGTCTTCACCATCTCCAGAAGCCCAACAGCTCCAGACAGCATGTTCTAAACACAGCCATTCAGAGTTGTTTAACATAACATTGTTTTAAAGAATTATTTATTTATTTATGTATGTGAGTATTCTATCTGCAGGTACAACTTTATTCCAGAAGAGGGTGTCAGATCCCACTATAGGTATTTTTGAGTCACCATGTGGTTGCTGGGAATTGAACACAGGACCTCTGGAAGAGCAAGCAGCCAATGCTCTTAACTGCTGAGCCATCTCTCCAGCCCTTAACATAACATTTACTAAATCAACCAAAGTTGTAGAGCTGGAGATATAGGTCCATGGCAGCATACTTGTCTGGAATGTGTAAGACCTTGGGTTCAAGCCACTGGGGGAAAAATACTTATATGGAAAAAAATACAGTCATTAGAAATTCAGTTCAATGGCCCTGGGTTTAGTTCTCAGCAACTAAAGAAAAATAAATGGTTAAAAATCACAAATGGCTGGGTATGGTGGCTCACACCAGTCGTTTCAGCATTTGGGAAGCTAAGGCAGAGAGATTATTTCAGCCCTATTTCAAAAAACAAAAACAGCTGTGGTGATATAAGTCAAACTGAAGATCAGAAAAGCAAAGCAGCCAAGCCAGTAGATCTCACATCACGGCTGGAGAATGAATGCCTTCCTATCCCTGGTTTCTTATTATTTGTGTTACAGACAGCAATAACAACAAGCCGCAGCTGTGGGCTAAAAGGCCACTTCCTCCACTGTATCAGGGGGAGGTCACTGCCACTCTTCCCATTCCAGCAGCAGGCAACTCTATGCATTCAGTGTCACCTCTACTGACAGTTACTCAAAGCAAAGGTTTCCACTAAGGGAGTGAATGCTACAGACTCCATCATTTTGCACACAGATACAGCCACACATTTCAATCTTTCTATCTACTCAGCAACAGTCCTGGGACTGGGACAAACTGGGAACAGAACAGACAGAAAATTTTGCTTCTCAGCATTAGTTCTTTTACTTGGAGCCCTTCCCTCCTTTGTGCTATCCCTATCCCCCTAAAAGGGAGAGGGAGATCAAACACTGGGCTCTAAAACTGACAAGGTTGGTTAAAACAGGAACAGCTTCAGTGGGAAGCCAGATCAGTGCTTCATTCGCACATATGGAACTATCAAAATCTGTCACTTAATTGGATGCTTTCATAGTTAACAGAGCCAAATTACCCTGTGGTTTTTTATTTTAACCTTTGAAGAAATAAAAAACAAAACAAAAATTGAGGATGGGGCCAGGAAAGATGGCTCAGCAGGTAAGTGTCTGTACTACAAGCCTGATGATCTGAGAACACAGGATGGAGAAGACAGACTCCTGAAAGCTGTCCTCGGACATCAACATGCCTGCTGTGGCGTGCGTACCCACATTCTCTCTCAGAGACAGAGAAAGAGGAAACTGATCGAGTGCATAGGGAGAAAGAGAACGACTGTACAGCTATATCCCAAAGGCTGCAGCAGCCCCCTGCCCACACTACGGAATCACCTGGATATGCGAGCGGCCTGGTGTTGGTGATCTGGCGTGCTTTCATTGCTTGCTGTTGCTTCTCCAGAGCAGCTAGCATGTCCCCTAAATCTAGCTGCACGGGGGTTTTATTCTTTTTCCCAGCTGCTTTTGATAAAGCTTCCTAAAACATGGACAAGAAAGGATTCATTTTTCTGACTAGGAAAGTATGACAAATTATAATTATACTTGGCATTCCTGTCCATCCCAGCAAGCCCAGCAGAAAATGACTATATACCTGTAATTTTTTTTGCTCCATACTTATTTCTGAGTATTCCTGTGCTGTGGCAAGGGCTGCAGCTAATGCTTTCTTCTTTTGACTCTTGGCTCGTTTAGGAACTGAAGTGGTAATGGGAATCGGAGTCTGAACTATATTGATGGGTGAGTTTTCAGGTAAGTCATCCAACTATGAAACAGGAGAAACACCTCTGTTAGTCATTTCACAGATGTCAAACCATAAGGAAAGACAATGCAGACTGAGGCAGGCTCTGCAGGACAGAGAAGGAGACTCAGAGGACGAGGGGTCATAGAGAACAGGGTGAGAAAGGATCATTTTAGAATGGGAGACAAAAGGACAAAGAGCTGAATATAACAGGTGGTGCTTGTCTGGGGGAAATTTCTATATAGACAGCACGCTGTATGACAGTACTTAATGTTTTTCAACTAGTAACAGAAGTGCACATTTCCTAGAAACTACTTTTGTTTAGGGAATGAAGCATTAAGGGTCTACTGGTACAAGAACCTGCTGCCAAAACTGAAAATATGGATCCCCTGTGACATTCATGGATGGCAAGATGCAACTCCTGCAAGCTGTCCTGTCTTCCTCAAGCACGCCGTGCACCCAGCCACCCATATACACACATAAACACAACTGCAGTAATAATCTTAAAGTGCTGAAAGTAAGCACTAAACATGCTATCCCCCAACACAGTGCTGCCCTAGGTCCTATATACCAACCTCAAGACTTCTTTCCACATAACGCAGAGTTCAAAAGGTGTTCTATTTTTCTTATAATTTTGAAAGGAGTTACTTACTACTTTTGAAGGAAGTTTCTGTTGAATATTCTCATCTTTAGAATTTCCATTCTCACTTAGTTCTTGAAACTCATCTTCATCCTGAAACAGTTCCCCTGATGTTAGTGAAAATGTTCAGGATTAACCCTACAAAGGAGTTTGTGAGGGTTATGTGTCCAACCTACATGTCTGTATGGGGTGTGCGCTCAGTGTATGTGTGTTTGGGTATCTGTGTGTGTTTATGCGTGTGCTCATGTATGTGAACATGTGTTTGCTGGGCATCAAACCCAGAGCCTTACTTGTAAGTAAGTACTCCACCGGTGAGCAACCTCCCCAGCATAGAAACTTTCTGTAGTGTTTCACAGTTCTGAAAGGTAGGGAAATAATGTATACTTGTATCTTACTGTTGATCTATTTTCAATCAGCCTTAAAAAGGGAATTTCACTCCTCCCATGCTAAACTTTGAATTTTTTATTCAAGCATGAAGTCACATCCATATCCATCCATCCTTTAGGTTTCTGTAGCCACTATTTCATTTTTATACTAATTCTAACCTAAGACAGGTAGGTAATTGAAAAGAATTTATACTGGATTTTATCACATTCAGATAATTTGGAGATTTTAAGTAGTTTAGTATTCATTTTTAAAATTCATTCTGTTTCCTACTACATATAATTTGAAGACTAATGTTTAAAACATTTTTATCCAAATGAATTTCATTTTTTTCTTTTCTTTTGTTTTTGTTTTGGTTTTTTGGTTTTCAAGACAGTGTTTCTCTGTGTAGCTTTGGAGCCTGTCTGGGAACTCACTCTGTAGACCAGGCTGGCCTCAAACTCACAGAGATCCGCCTGCCTCTGCCGCCCAAGTGTTGGGATTAAAGGCGTGTGCCACCACCATCCAGCCTCAAATTAATTTCTTAGTCAATATCTTTCTGATTGTATGGAAACAATCATACAAGTGCATCTATGATAAAATTGTCATATTTATATTTAAACTATTCTCAGATTAGAATTAACTTTTGTTAAAGGGAAAGAATAGAAGCAACATTTTATCAGTCACAAAAAAAGTTCAACTTGTATAAAAATCCACAAGTAAGAAAAGAAAGAGTGGTCCTAAATCTGGGATTTATGAAAACTCTGCACAAAGCCATCACTCCTGAGAACAGAGGAGCCACCATGTTTAAAAGGTCTTACAAGCTGGGGGATGGTTTACTTGGGAAAGTGCTGACTCTGGAAGCATGAGGAGCTGATTCCATCCCCAGAACCTAGACAAAAACAGCTGCACAGTGGCAGGCACCGAGGCCCAGTGCTGAGACATGAAGACGGACAGATCCCAGATCCGTGAGGCTCACAGGCCAGCCTGTGTCACTTTATCACTGAGCTCCAGGCCAACGAGGGACCTTTTGTCAAAAAAAAAAAAAAATCAGAGGATGGTGTCCTCTGGCTTCCACTTGCCCATAAACAGGAACCATATGGTAAACAAAGAAACAATCTAACATGGTCTTGAACCCAGGGATTCAGGCAAAACCCTAACTTGGTCCCCCTACAGGCATACACCAATACACTCAGCTGGCATTTTAAGTAAAATCATCTGTATAAATAAAAAACAATAGGGGCTGATGGGATAGGTCAGTAGCAGACAGAGTGCCTGCCCAGCAAGCACAAAGCCCTGGTTTCTAGCCTCAGGAAAGCTCCAACACATTTAAATTGTGTCAGTCAGTCATGCGCGTCTTCATTCCAGCACTCAGGAAGAAGCGGCAGGTGGGCCTCTGTGAGTTCAAGGCCAGCCTGGTCTACATAGAGTTTCAGGACTACACAGAGACCCTGTCACTTAAAAGAAAAAGAGGGAGGTGGGGATGCAGCTGTCTTCCTAGGAACTGTTACCAAAGCAGCAGTCCAGTTTCAATATTAACAGAAAACCATTCACTCTAACAATATCTAACAAGAATTTAAATTTCCTAATTTTTGTTTTGTTTTCTGAGACACGGTCTCACACTATAGCTCATGCTAATAGGCTTAAAGCAATACTCCCATCTCAGCTCCAGAGAGTTAGGATTACAGGTTTAAGCCACCATACCTGGTTCATTGTTTCCAAATTTTAACTGATGTTAATATAAAAACAAACGGCACATTTTTTAGAACTTTTTTATTAACGAAGTGAGTACCTGTCCAGTCAAGGGCTGAAAAACTATTCCTGGCAGAATTAGTCAGATGCACTCTCAACTCCTTTGGAACAGTATTCAGCTTAGTTAACATACTAATCCTTAGTGAGTTTCAGGACAGCCAGAGCTGAAACCATCTCGAAAAACAAAACAACAAAACAAAACAAAAACAAACAAAAAACCACAACAAAAACAAACAAAAAACCACAACACACTAGTCCTTGTCCTCTAACTTCTAGGATTTCAGTTTAACATGCATCTATTAGCCTATTTTATAAAAATCTGTGCTCTAACCAAAGTGAGCTGCATTGAACAATTACCAGGAATTGTTAAAACAACAAACTTATTCTTTAAGACCCACCCCAAGTGGCTTGTTCTATTCTCTAGTCCATCACAGCCAATCAAATCGCATATGAGGTCATGTCTGCATCCTCCCACCACATAGCACTTCTCTGGTAAGCCACTCACAGCACCTGCTATTATTACAGTCCCAGGCTGGAGCAAAAGCAAGTGAGCAGAACAAACACTAGAAACTGAATCAGGATTTATGTACTAGGAGAGTCAATAAAACAGCCACTTTTCTTTTTCTCTAAGACTCTACCGAATAGGGGCAGGAGGTATCTCAATGGAAACATTCAAATCTGAAAAACCTTTCAGACATACTAAAGGACAACAAAATCAGCTTCTCATCCACACACCACCTCAAAATGAACACATGACAAAACTTCAAAACAGATACTAACGAAGGGAATGCTAGTTTACATAAACACAACCAAGACAAATAAAAATGAGCCGGTATGTCAAGTAATTTATAATCTAACAGAGTAACATGTTAAGGCAGGAAAATAAAATAATTTTAACATAATTATATACTAAATTAATTTCTTAGTGAAGATTTTTCACAGTAGTTTACAAATAGAATTTGAAAAAAATTACCTCAAAATATAAAGACTCAGAATTTAGATCACTCCTGTAAGACTGAGTAGAGCTTAAGTGCTTAGTGTCTTGTCTCTTTTGCAAATTCTGTCTTCTTTCTGAGGAAGTACTGTGTCCTCGGCATCTGAATCCAGCCTAAGAAACCCCAGAGGAAAGAAAATATAATTTTCAAGTAACTTTGTCATTGAAGTACAGCAAACCTGTAAAGAAGCACGTGAAGTGAGACTCAAGGAAACTTCTGTAGAGGGCAGTTTCTCTCAAGAGCTGAAGCTTCCATGAAAACCAACAGTAAGGTGTGTTGCTTTTCTCCCCCAGAAACGGAACATTTTTATCAGCTTTATTCACAAGAACCAACACCTGACAACAAACCTAAGGTTCTCCAACGGGTGAATGGTCTACTAGCAGGTTACGCCCACGATACAGCAGAGCTCTCATTAGCTGCTGAGAAGTATGAGCGGCTAGCAAATATAATCCCCCGAAAAAGTCTCCAGGGAACTTGCTGAGTGGAAAGAGCCAACCCTGGAAGGAGTACAAGAACAAGGAGAGGTAGAAAAACCAAAAACTCAAAGTTATCCTCCCTAGAGATGATTTTTCTTAAGTGATATTTTATTAGGGTCTTGCCTTCAAGGAAATGGGCTGAAAAGGCAAGGGGCAGAGGCCTATAGCCCCAGCACTAGAGAGGGAGAGGCAGGACTATGCAGTCGGGGCCAACCAGCGCTGCAATATGAAGAATGGCAGGTAGCTGACTTCAATGCAAGATTCTCACACATCAACATCAACAACCCACCCCCCCTCCAAAAAAAAAAAAAAAAGAAAAGAAAGAAAGATGAAAGGAACTGGAACTTTATCCGATTACATAAAGCATTATTATCCTGTTACAAGAGCTGTTTCCATGTCCTCAAACTCATGTAAAGAGACCTGAGCCCTGGGAGACAGGGACTGAAGTGATTAGGTCATGAGACCAGAGCATCCTGGATGGGATTTATGAAACCTATAAAAGGGACCCAGAGAATTCTCAGCCCCTCTTCCCTAAGGGCAACAGTGAGAAGGTTGTCCTCTACAAACCAAGAAGCAGGGTGGGCAATCCTTCCCCAGACAGCCGGCCTTCCTGTACCTTGACCTTGGCTTACTATGGCTTATGACCTTTTTGCTCATAAGCATCAAGTCTATGGTGCTTTTTCATAGCAACAAAGAGATTAAGACATCTTACTAATAAGTCTGCAAAACATTTCACTGTCAGAGGCAAAGAAAGAACGTGGTGAGTGTTCTAAGAAACTTCAGATACTTCTTATAAGAACCTATGTCAGCTGACACTAAATGCCACCTCAGAAAAAATTAAAAAGACACCTTTCTGTTGACACCTACCTGAAAATCCTAATGGGAAACAACATTAGGCTATCAGGAGACTGAGGATATAAGTTTCTGAAATCAACACACAGACCTACACCTGGCCATTCCCACGCTTGCTGCTGGGAACCAGTTAGTATATATGTATGGATAGTGTCAAAAATATTCAACAGTTTTTCTTTAAAAAACAAATGCAACTTGATACTTAGAGGTGGAGACAAAAAGTACCAGGATTGCCAAGCATGGTTGATTAACAGTTTTGATTGTAGCACTCAGGAGGTAAAGGCAGGCAGGTTTCTGTGAATTCAAGGCCAGCCTGGTCTACATAGTGAGTTTCAGGCCAGCCAACGTTACACAGAGAGACCAACCCTGTCATATAAAATAAATAAAGATAAAAGGAAAAAAGTTCCAGCAACTGAAAACTTTCAGTTTCCATGAGAAGCAAATATTCCAATAACATCTGAACAAATCAATAATCTCATGATAACTGAATGCTTTCTGTCAGTTCTTCTAAGTTTTGTTTCTGGAAAGTGAGTGTATAAACCAGACACAGTGATAGTATAAGCCTGTAGTCCATTCAGGAAGCAGAGGCAGGAAGATCACCTCAAGTTCAAAGATAGCCTTGTCTACAAAGGTAGTTCCAGGCAAGACAGGACTACAAACTGGGACTCTGACTCAAAAAAGAGAAGCAGGCATAATGAATAAGACAAAAGCAGAGGGACAAAAGGAGACAGGAGGAGAAAAGAGATCAAGATTCAAGCTGGGTATGACGGCACACTTGTAACCCCAGGTCTTGGGAGGCTGCGGCAGGAGACTTCAAGTTCAAGGCTTGCCTAGACTACATATTGAGACCTAGTCTCAAAATAAATCAAGGTAAACAGAAATGGATCCAGAGTCAAAAAGTAAGCAGAGATATGACCAGACAAGTTCACAGAAAAACAAACACAAGTAACTCAAAACATGGAGATACCCAACTATATCAAAACCTTTTGAAAATCTAATTAAAATGTAATAATTATTATGGATATTGTCTCCCTCAAGTGCTCCTGTTTTAGAACCTGGTTCCTGGAGGCCTTGGTGGCATTGGGAAGTGTATGACTTCCAAGAAGTAGGCCCAGGGCTATGGGGAGGGCTCAGGTGGTAAGTACTTGCCTGTCCTGCATCAGGACCCGAGTTTGATTGCCATGCACGCCTAACCCCACTGCTGGGAAGTCAGAGCCAGGAGAGTATCTGGGGCATGCTGGCTAGCCAGGCTTGCCCCACTGGTAAGATGTAAGTGGACTCTGATCCTTAGGCCTCTCTCTGGCTTCCTATCTGTGCTTTCATTCCCTCTCCTCACAAAAACACTCCCATCACATGCCAGGAGGACTTCATAGGACTTGTAGAATGTTGTTTGTATTTCTGCCCTCCAAAACTACAAATTAAATAAACAGTTATCCTTATAAATTTGGCTAGCCCCAGGTGTCTTGTCATAGTGACAAAAAGCTAACAAAAACGTAACAGAAATCAAAACCCTGAAGCTCTTTTTCATGCCTCCCTGAGCCTTTGATTTTTCCTTCTTCTTTTTTGTATTTTTTAATGTTTAGTCTCAGTGTGTGGCATATACACATTTGTTTGTGTAGGTACATGTGTATCTGCGTACAGAGGTCAGAGAGAAGTTGGGTGGCCTGCTTTGTCATGCTCAGCCTTACTCCCTTGAGACAGGGTCCCTCTGTGAACCCACAGCAGACTGGCGGCTGGCAAGCTGCAGCAATCCTCTTGTCTAGGCCCCCACACTGTCAGGGTTACAGGCATGCATATCCATGTGCGACGTTTTCCAAAGGTGCTGGCCACCTACTCTTAGGTCTGCATGCCTGCACAGGAGTACTCTTACCCACAGTCATCTCTCCAGTCCTATAATCAGAGAATAAAAGTATTTATTTGCTACACTGGACAGGAGGCAGGCGGATCTCTGTGAGTTTGAGGCCAGCCTGGTCTACAGAGTTCCAGAACAGCCAAAGCTATTACAGAGAAAAATCCTGTCTTCAAAAACCAAAAAAAAAAAAAAAAAAGTTTTCTGCTTTGAAAATCTAGATCACCATGCATCAAAGTTAAGTCTCTGATTAAAAATACCTCAAAAGACTGTACTATAAAAAAGTAGCACAGGGCCCTGAGTGAAATGACAGACTCTAGATATCCCCTATGTAGAAGGAAATGGCGATAGGGTGAGAGGTTGGGGGGGGATGGTGGGGGGGTGCGGGAGGAGGGGAGGGAGAGGGAACTGGGATTGACATGTGAAACAAGCTATTTAAAATAAAAAAAAAAGTAGCACAGGGACTGGTGAGACGATTCAGCAGCTAAGGTGCTTGCTGTGAAGCCTGGCTGACCTGTGCTGGATCCTGGAACCCAGGAGAAGGTGGAAGGAGAGCACTGACTCCAAAGTTACCTGCAGGCCTAGACACACATCACACACACACTCACACACACACACACATACACACATACATACACACACACTCACACACTCACCACACACACATACATGCACACACACTCACACACACAAACTCACACTCACACACATACACACACTCACACACATACATACACACACTCACACACTTACATACACATACATACACACATACTCACACACATACACTCACCACACACACTAACTCTCACACACACACTCACCACACACACTCACACACTCACCACACACAAATACATACACACTCACACACCACACACACACACTCACACACATATACACACTCACACACATACACTCACCACACACACACTAACACATATACTCACCACACACACACTCACACACTCACCACACATATACACACCACACACACTCACCACACACACATATATACACACATATACATACACACACACTTACACACACCACACACACTCTCACACACACATTCACACATACATACACACACTCTCACACACATACACTCACCACACACACTTACATACACACACTCACCACACACACACACATTCAAACATACATACATACACACACTCACCACACACACATACACACACCACACACATATACACACACTCGCACATACATACACACACATGCAGACATACATACACTCACACATATATACACACCACACATACACACACATACATACACACCACACACACACTCACACACACATACTACACATACACCACACACACATACACACACACACTCAAATACTACACATATACACACACCACACACATACTCACACACATATACTCACACATACCACACATACACACACACACACACACACACACACACACACACACACTCACCACACACGGAATAAAAAAGCTAGTGTAGGGCTGGAGAGATGGCTCAGCGATTAAGAGCACTGACTGTTCTTCCAGAGGTCCTGAGTTCAATTCCCAGCAACCACATGATGGCTCACAACCACCTTGAATGACATCTGGTGCCCTCTGCTGACATGCAGGCAGAAGACTGTATACACAATAAATAAATAAAGTATAAAAAAAAAAGCTAGTGTAAAATATAGGCCAATATTTTCTATAGGATTTACCTTCTAAAAGCCTTTTAAAGTCTATAAAACAATTATAAGTTGCAAAAAGGCATAATGTTTTGACTTAAAAAAGGAGCTGGTGTTTGGGGAAAAAAATCAAGTATATACTTAAGAAAAATACTAAGACAACAAACATCAGTAGTAGATAGAACAACACACTGGAAATCTGGTTCTAATGCTTTAGGAATGAAGAAAGATACAAAATAAATAAATTTGCTTAGGTGGAGTGGCACATACCAACACTTGGGAGACTAAGGCAGGAAGGTCACAAGTTCAAAGCAACCTAGACTGCACAGCAAGTCCTAGGCTAGCCTCAGCTCTAGGGAAAGACCTCTGTCAAAATAAACAAATAAAATACACTTACTGTTTAGCTTCTTTTTTCCCCACCAGTTATGAGATAGAGAGAAAGCATTCAAAATGTTTTTCATCTCAGAGTTATTTCCTTTAATGGACACAGATACAAAACAACAACAAAACCAGGCCAGGACCCAGACCAGGAACTTGGCAAAGCAGGTGGTTTCAATTTCAACAGAAAAACTCAGTAAACATCTTGCAGGAGCTGTCTAATCTTTATTATCAAATAAAGCTAAAGCAAGACTGCCTCACAAGCCTGGGAGGAAAAGTGGCCTGATTTTGCAGGATCACAGGGAAGCGGCACTGCTCCTGTTTTCCTGACAGCAAGTAGAGCCTACGTCAAGGAGTCATCTGACATGTTCGTCTCATGGAGGCCAAGAGCAGGCAGCAGCTGGGATATGCAATCCATACTTGTCCTTACTTTTGGTCCTTTCATATTTACATGACACCTTTAATTCCTTAACTAGATATAAAGAATCCAGGAAGCCTATCTAAAATGAAAAGGAGAACTAATGACCAATAAACAATTCCCTGATTTGACAGCCAACCAACACATGAAGATACAGTCGCTGTAAGTGCACAGCTGCACAGTCCACTCTCTGCAGGACTGTCAGGAAAATGCCCAATCTACCCACACTGTGGCCTCAGGTAACCATCAATGTGACAATGCCACTAGCATAAAAGAGTGTTAATAAGTAACATCAAAATACCCATGGAAGAGATGGTTCATCAGGCAAAGATGTTTGCTAGCAAGCCTGACGACCTGAGACAGATCCTTATTCTTACAAGCTGTCTGAATCTCACACCAACAAACTAAGTAAAAGTATATTTAGAAACCTACAGACTCCTACAGCCCTTAAGTTGAAACAACCAATTTTAAGAGGAGAAGGTTCCAATTTCTGACATGAAGGAAACAGACACTGCAGGTAGAGGGTGTCCTGCTTTAAATTATGACATACTCAACCAGACAAAGTGGAAAGGTGGTGCCATTTCCATCCATATTCTCACCATCTTCACTCAACAAAATGCCATTTCATTATTTATGCTTTATCTGCTAAGGCATTTAAAAAGTTTTAAATGTGACACACCAGGAGGTGCTGGTGCATGCCTTTAATCCCAGCACTCAAGTGGATAGCTGCAAGTTAGAGGTCATCCTGGTCTACGGAGCAAGTTCCAGGACAGGCTCCAAAGCTACACAGAGAAACCCTGTCTCAAAAAACTAAAAAAGTTTTAGATATGTGTGATGTATATGCATACATGTTGTGTTTGTGTCATGACGGCCTTAGGTGCCCTTCCTCAGAAGACAACCATCTTTTTTTTTTTTTTAATGTAGGATTTCTCACTGGCCTGGGGCACGCCAAGGCATAAAGATTATTCCATAATCATTTGTGTGTACCTTCCTGTCTCTCTTTACCTTACTGTTTCGAGACACAGGCTCTCCCTGAACCTGAAGGTGACCAATTCAGCTGGGCTGGCTGCCTCTGGAGCTCTTCGATACAGATGTGCACTGCAGCATGAGTCTTTTAAGTAGGGGCTGGGGATCTGAACTCACGTCTCATCAACAACCCACAGTAGTTCACATTTAGGCACACAACTTTATGTGTCTTTAAAACTTAATGATAACATGCTTACCAACTGCTCTACCACTGTTATGATAAATTTAACATTGTTAACCTCACACCTAATCAGATTTCCAACGTCATTCAAAGTACCTGTGAATTATTTCTTTGTTCAGTTTGCCTGCCCCCTCTAGAAAATGCTGGGTGTTTTTCCATCCAAGGTCTTTTCTGTGTTGCCTGGCAGGTTACTTTGGGCCAGTTTACACCACCTGTATCAAACGTGTAAAGATATTAAAGATTAGATTCACTGATAATGAAGGCCAAAATCTAAACAACTGAGTCACTACAGACATGGAATTTTTTTTCTCTAAGTTTAGAGTGGAACAGGCCTTTTTAGTAACACAAATGTCATCCTGCAGAATGCTCCAGATCACATTTTCTCAACTTCTTTGGTAAAACTATATATACTTTTCAATTAACTTGAGTCACTGGAGATTTACAGTTTTTGTTTATAGCACTGGTAAGCCCCACACTTAAAGGAAAACTTGAAATGGTCAAAAAAGAAAATACATAAGAAACACTGAAAAAAATAAGTACCTGTACAGCCTGATGATTCCGAATGCTAAAAACACAAAACAAAAAGGATGGTTAGTTTTTAGTTAAGCGCAATGTGTCATACATTACAAATGTTTCATAATTTAACCTACTGTTAAATATATTACTTAGAACAGTGCTTCAAGTTTACATGAATAATAAATATCATTAAGGATTGCTAAAAAGAAAAACACGAATACTTCTTTTTCAGCAATATATACTGACTGCAGGACTAACAAACAAACAAATCAAAGGACGTGAGACATTACACACATTCATGCTCCCAGAGTCAGGGTTCCGCAGAGCCCCTGCCACAGGCTGGTTGTTGTGCTTGGGGCTACAGTAGCCACTGTCGCTGTCGATGTCAGCTTCACTGGCCCCCTGCTCACTGGAGGATTCGGCAGCAGGGTGGGATGCTCTTCTCCTCCTGCCTTTGGCTTTCCAGAGCATGGTTGCTGTGCTCTCTGAGAGAGACTTGTTAGCAATGTCTGATGGGAAATCTACAAGGCAAGGCAAGCAGACAATTCTCTGTGATGACCAGGTTTATACATGTTTGTAAATTACTAAGGTTCTAAGCACATTAAAGTGACAGAATCTGTAAATGGACAAATATTTGACTCTTTGAAGAGATCATATAAAATGTTCCTAATAAGTTACAACTCGGCGTCATTCTGAAAATAAAATATTGGTCGTCAAATACTAAAATCATCAGTCATTTAAGGAAGAGAACATTTCCAGTCTTTCAAAGTCACCATATGTGCCCGCCAGCCTACCTTCCTCTTTCCTGTTACCACTATCCTGTGTTTAGTTTTCACTCACTTTTCCATAGTGAGTGAAATAGATTTTTGTATCTATTTGTAAAAAAAAATGAACTGGGCAGTGGTGGCGCACGCCTTTAGTCCCAGCACTTGGGAGGCAGAAGCAGGGGGATCTCTGTGAGTTCAAGACCAGCCTGGTGTACAAAGTGGGTTCCAGGGCATCCAGAACTGTTTATACAGAGAAATCCTGTCTCAAAAAACAAAACAAAATGAAACAAACAAAAAAAATGAACAACAACAAAATAACAGTTTTGGGGCTTGAGAGATGGCTCAACAGTTAAGAGCACTGACTACTCTTTCAGAGGACCTGGGCTTAATTCCCAGCACCCACATGACAGCTCACAATTGTCTGTAACTCCAGTCCCAGGAGATCTGACACCTTTACACCAATGCACATAAAATAAAGTTAAAAAAAAAAAGAAAAGAAAAGATGCTTTTACAGCTCTTAGCTGTTTTGCTAAAATAATCAGCTATTATCTTGTTCCCTGCTACTTCAACACGAGTTTTAAGATTTTGCTATATGGCGTACTAGTTAATTAATGTCACTGTAATTCAAACTGCTTTTGCATGGATATACCAATATATTTATCCTACCAATATATACTACCACTCAAGTATGCTTTGGTTGTTTTGTATTCAGGAGACAAAGGCAGAAGGATCTCTTTGAGTTCAAGGCCAGACTGGTCTGCAGAGCTGAGTTCCAGGACAGCGAGAGCCACACATAATATCTCAAAACAAACAACCCACTACTGACTGGGGACAGAGCTGCATGACAACCAAAATGTACATTACACGTGCATGAAAGGAAGGAACTCAATGAAAGTTAACAGTCAGAGACACATGACAGCAAATATACATATATGTACATGGAAGTTTCTGTAAGGCAAACGTGAATGGGCAATTCAGGACACACACACAGATTCAAACCTGGTCATGCTAAATCATTTTTGAAGGTGGTTAAAACAAGCTACATTCCAAGAAGGGTATGTAAATATATCAATGACTCACACACAATACTTGACGCTGCCTCTCCAACTATAACCTGTGCCAATCTGCTTGCTGCACAGAAAAGGTGGCTTATTACGGGTTTTAATTTGCACTTCGCATTTAATAACGAGGTCAAGAATCTTTTTTGATGTTTTTAGTTACTAATATTCTCCTATGAAATTCTGATTAATTTTACTTTTAGCTTGACTTCTACAAAATTGTTCACTGGGTTGTTTATTTTAATTTCACAAATATTAAGACATTTTAATAAGCCTGTTACCTCAACAATTCACAAGTTTTCCTTTTTCTATAGTTCTATTAATTCACAATTTTAAAAGACTGATTTTATTATTTATTGATTTGTATGTATGTGTCTGTGTGAGCTAGAGTTACAGGCAGCTGTGAGCCTTAACATAGGTGCTTAGAACATGAACTAAGGTCCTTTGGTAAGGCAGCAAGTGTTCTTAACTGCTGATTCCTCTCTCTAGTTCCTCCCTCACAACTGACTGATTCAAAGCTGTGCTGTTTAATACTATGTCATCGTGTTATGACAAGTCCTCATACTTTACTGCAAGATGGCTTTATACATTCTATGGAGGGGCACCCTGTGTATTTGTGAACTGTCACCTGTCACTGGACACTAGGAACATTTTGCTATTTAGGTTTGGGTCTTTATCTTGCACTACAACAACAGTCTAAATCTCTTTCAAAGGGGAAGCTCCATGTGGACACACCCACTGTGAATTAACTGAATCAAAAGAAAGATCCCTAAAGCCAAAATTGCTCCAGCTCCCTAACCCCCAAGCACCAAGGATAGCACACCACTACTTTCTTATTCTTCCTAATCTTTTCTCATTAGACACACACACACACACACACACACACACACACACACACAAACTTTTCCAAGCTTATATTCTTTTAAATTAAAATTCTTAATTTTGAAATGACCCTCTTCCTGCGGCCAGGTAGCCACAAAGGAGTGTTTGCATTCTTTTTGCACAGTGGCTTTCTTTCTCATTCAAGTCTTAGTCAACCTACAGTCACCCGAATGGGGTATAAATTTGGGGCCTGCAAGGCTGTCCCTATGGCATGCATGTGTTTCTGGGTTTTCGTTCAATTCTCATATACTACACTGATAGTATAAAGCTGAGAAAGACAGCAACGTGGGAAGGGATTTGAACGGTGAAGATGGAGCACGTGGGGTGGGGGGGAGAAGACAACCATGGGGAGTGAGGGCATCAGAACTCTGCATACATGAATCAAACTGTCAATGAACAAAGTTAACTAACTTAAAAAGCATTCAGCTGACTCTAAGCTTTAGTGCACAAAGGACCTTCCAGACCACTCTGCTCCTTTATATTAGAATTACTTTGTTGAATTCCCCAAAAATTCCTACTGAGATTTTAAGTACTCAACTGCAGACTAAACTTTCGGGGCACCAATGTTTGATAATCAGGTTTTCTAAAGTTTTACACAACAATCTCAGAGTCCCCTCATGTATTCCTAAGCTTGAGTTCAAAATTCCTGAATTCCTATTGCTGCTGTAAACCTTAAACTGTTGTTCATGACACATGGGAACTCAGCTGATATTTGCACATGATCTTATATCCAGACAACTGTTTTTTGGTTTTGTTTTGTTTTACATTTCATCTATTTACTTCATGTATGTGGGGGGGGGGCTGAGTGTCACAGTTGAGTGGGGGTGGGTGGAGGGCTGAGGACACTTGTGGGAGCTGGATCTCTTCATCCACCATGTAGGTTCTGGGGATCAAGCTCAGGTTGTCCAGTTTAACAACAAATACCTTCACTTGCTGAGCATCATGCAGCTCCCTTCCTTGACTCTAACCACCTTATATTCTCATTAAATAATACAAGCTTGTTCAAAAGCAAAAATCTGCTACAAGCAGAAAGACCTACTTTACAAAACTAAGTAATTTTTATCTCTTACTGCTGCCAGGTAAACCTCAGAAGTTAAACACAAACTAAGGAAAGGAAATGCTGAGAGCATATACAATCTACTCAAATCATGCCTCCAATTCTTATGTTTCAGGACGCTGTCCTTTTGATGACTTAAGGGGCAAAGTACAGTCTTTTCAGTCTCTCCACATAGCCCTGGCTGTCCTAGAACTCCCTCTATAGACCAGGCTAGGCTCAAACTCAGAGATCTGTCTGCCACTGCCTCCTTGTGCTAGGATTAAAAATGTATGCCCCCCACCCACCAAAAAACAAACAAACAAAAAGAAAAAAAAGCAGGCATGACGTCATTTGCCTTTAAAACCAGTTCTTGGGAGGCAGAGGCAGACAGAGCTCTGAGTTTGAGACTAGCATGCTCTATAGAGAGAGTTCCAGGACAGTCAGAACTATACAGAGAAACCCTGTCTCCAAACACAAAAAAGTGTGTGCTACCACACCTGGCTCAGACAGTAGTTTTAAGAACCTTGCTAAGGTTTACCAAAGGATGTAGAAATGAGTCACTGTGAGGAGGAACAGACTTGGAACACACGACTTTCCCCGAAACTACTCCAAGCAAGGCACGCAGCCTATTAAACACACTAGTTTAGGCCTCACGAACCACACAGCACTGGACATCAACAAGATGATTTTTTAACTAACTTCCACATCCTCTTTCTGCTCCTGAAGGACCTAAGCACACATAAAAGATCATAAAACTAAATATCCAACAGAAAACGTTGAATAACAGAAAGCAACAAGCTGCCTTATCCAAGGGGGAAAGTAATGTGCTTGTAAGTGCAGGTGCTCATGGAGACCAGATGTATCGATTCCCCAGAGCTGGAGTTACAGGCGGCTGTTAGACACCTGGCCTGCCTGTTGGGAGCCAATCTCTCATTCTCTGCAAGAGCAGAAAGTGTTCTTAAGCCCTGAGGCATCTCTTCAGTCCGTATGATATTCTTTGAGACAGGCTCTCAGTATGTAGCTGAACTGGTCTTGAGCTCACAAGGCAGAGACAGAATAGAATCTCTAGCACCGGCTAGTTAGACATACTAGGCAAGACAGCCAGGTCCAGGTTCAGCTAGAGACCCCACCCCCCAATATGCAGGGAGCAAAGTGACTAAGGAGGACATTAAGCATCAACTTAGAGCCAAACACACACATTTACCCACGTTTGCAAGAATAAACAGACCACTGTCTTACCAGTTTGCTGTGAAGCATCTACCAGGAGCACAATTTTTGATCGGCTATCAGGACCTGCTGAGCTTGTTTCTTTCTGAGTAGCCACATTCTTCACCTGTGGTCTTTTGTTTTTTATATGTTGTTGTAGAAGCTGTGGCTAAGTTTAAAAGACAAAAAACAACAAAAAAAAAAAACAGTAAATGTATTAAACATAAACTACACATTACATCCATTACATAAAAACCTAAACGTACACCACAAATCAGGGGCTGATTTTGTGTTATTATTCACTGAGAAGCAATACAGGCTAAATGTACCATAAGCACATTTACACATGTTTTTCAAATAACCATTAACACTGTGATTAGTAAAATCTGAGTTGATTTTAGTTTTCACCTGCATTTTTTAAATCAATTACTAACAATTAACAAGATTTTACAGTGCCATATGAAGAGCTAAAAATTTTTATTTTAAAAGGTGATAAAAGCATGAAAAGTTACCCTGTCACTAAATTTAAGCTCATAACAATGATAAGCAAAAATATTTCTACACTGGAGTCCAAACAGAAGCTATTAAAAAGCTGATTTCTTTCTTTAACTTTTTAAAAAATAGGAGTAATTATTCCTCAACAGCAATTTCTTATACACCAGAACTCTAAATTTAACTTCAACTTCCTGAATTGCGACTGCAGGGAAAGCATTCTGAAAAGTCTCATTCTCTTTTTTTTTTTTTTTTTTTTTTTTTTTGGTTTTTACGAGACAGCGTTTCTCTGTATTGTTTCGGAGGCTATCGGTCCAGCCTGGCCTCGAACTCACAGAGATCCACCTGCCTCTGCCTCCCGAGTGCTGGGATTAAAGGCGTGCGCCACCACCGCCCGGCCCAAGTCTCATTCTCTGAATACTGGAAACTATATACTATAATCTTGCTTTTTCTTTTCTTTTTTTTTTTTTTTGAGAGCTAGTTTATTTTTTGACACTTTTTAATTATATATTTAAATTAGAAACAAGCTTGCTTCCCATGTCAATCCCAGTTCCTTCTCTCTACCCTCCACACCCACTCCCCCCGCCAGCTCCCTCCAACACCCCCCCATCCCCACTCCATTTCCCAGAAGGATAAGGCCTTCCATTGGGGATCTCTAGAGTCTGTCATTTCGTTAATACCTATTCCTTCCATTCTTGACAGTTCCTTGACCCACAATGTTTCCATGAACCAAGGCAACAATCTTTTCAAAGTAATCTCAGCTGCTTATTTGTTTTTAATTTTTAAAACTTATGTCAAAGGCAGTGAAGACTTTCTACTAAGAAAGTTAGCTAACGGAATCTGGGAGAGTGATAATTTTCCATAGTAGTAACACAGAGAAATGTCTCAACAGTGCTGGCTATAAACAGGCTTTTCTTACAGCTTCGATAAAAGCCCTTAACAGAAAAGCGGCCTGGGATAAACAGAACTCTCCCATGACTTCAGGGAGCATTGCACTGCATCTTTGATATATACATAAAACTTAGGTCAAATGCTGGCATTGAACCAAAGTGGCTTCACGCTTACTTGTTTCTTAACAAAGCACTATCCCTACTAATGACTCAGAACACAGATGCTGAAGTTGAAGGGATCTGAGGAACCACTAAAGCTAACCTTTCCCATTCTCCTGCTGATTTCAGAAGACTGAAACAGCCTGAGGCACATTCAACCATGTGATCCATTTAATGTTGGCATCATCACTGTGCAGTTTTATCACAAAATTAAAATAATTTAGAAATAACTGTGCATTGTGTTTATATAAAACTCCATGAATGATCATGGAGATGACATAACACTATCCATCGAGAATAAGGGGAAATATATATCAGGAAAAAATGATTTAAAATAATATGGCTATAATACATTCTATTAGTGGTGAATACTTTGTGGCAAATTAAACATTAAAGGCCAATGGAGACAAGCAGTAAATTACTTATACTAGTATTAACAACATATCATGTTTAAAAACTACACACAAAGAAAGTGGCTACTCACTTTTGGCACTACCGGCCCTCTGTTACCATTCCTGCTCCGATGACTGGACAATGGGAAGGCCTGCCCCAGCTGATTTGGACGCTCGGTGCATTCTGTGGTTATGGCATTGACAGTGTTTGCAGCCTGGAAGGTGCTGGAGTAAGGTGTAGGAAAAGGGTGATAGAAGCCCATAACTTGGGCGCAGGGTGCTGGCATCAGCTGGTAATAGGTGTACTCTGTCGACACAGGTGGCTGAGCAGATATAATGGGGTAAGCAAGGTAGGGTCCAGTAGGGCTCGGGCTGGGTTGTTGCCATCGTATATCATTGTTATATAAAGGAAACTGTCTGCAAAACCAAACAAAACAGAAAAAAAAATCTACTGACGAGTCCAAGAGTAATATTAAAGCAGAACAAACAATACAGACATACAGAACGGTGCCTTCACAATAATTCTAAAACTAATGCCATCTTGTGTCTTTTCTGTTATAAGAGATGCCCTGCACTTATAATAAGGATGGACATGATAGTATAAAGGGATCTAGCATGAGAGCTTGCCGAATTCCACATCCCTTTACTGCTTACAAACCTACTCTCAAAGATCTCCTTGTCTAAAGTGAAAGACCTAGCTTCTGCATTTATAGCACAGCCATCCACAGTCCATGTCCAACACTCACAACTGCCACAGCCTCTGCAAAAGCAGAGCCAGGCACTCGGCATGTAATGTGACCTTGTATACTGTCTCCCCGGCATGTAATATGACCTTATATACTGTCTCCCTGGCATGTAATGTGACCTTATATACTGTCTCCCGGGCATGTAATGTGACCTTGTATACTGTCTCCCAGCACTCAGCATGTAATGTGACCTTATATACTGTCTCCCCGGCATGTAATGTGACCTTATATACTGTCTCCCAGCACTCAGCATGTAATGTGACCTTGTATACTGTCTCCCCGGCATGTAATATGACCTTATATACTGTCTCCCTGGCATGTAATGTGACCTTGTATACTGTCTCCCCGGCATGTAATATGACCTTATATACTGTCTCCCTGGCATGTAATGTGCCCTTGTATACTGTCTCCCCGGCATGTAATATGACCTTATATACTGTCTCCCTGGCATGTAATGTGACCTTATATACTGTCTCCCTGGCATGTAATGTGACCTTATATACTGTCTCCCAGCACTCAGCATGTAATGTGACCTTATATACTGTCTCCCTGGCATGTAATGTGACCTTATATACTGTCTCCCAGCACTCAGCATGTAATGTGACCTTATATACTGTCTCCCCAGCATGTAATGTGACCTTATATACTGTCTCCCAGCACTCAGCATGTAATGTGACCTTATATACTGTCTCCCGGCACTCAGCATGTAATGTGACCTTATATACTGTCTCCCGGGCATGTAATGTGACCTTATATACTGTCTCCCTGGCATGTAATGTGACCTTATATACTGTCTCCCAGCACTCAGCATGTAATGTGACCTTATATACTGTCTCCCCAGCATGTAATGTGACCTTATATACTGTCTCCCAACACTCAACATGTAATGTGACCTTATATACTGTCTCCCTGGCATGTAATGTAACCTTATATACTGTCTCCCAACACTCAACATGTAATGTGACCTTATATACTGTCTCCCCAGCATGTAATGTGACCTTATATACTGTCTCCCAACACTCAACATGTAATGTGACCTTATATACTGTCTCCCTGGCATGTAATGTAACCTTATATACTGTCTCCCTGGCATGTAATGTGACCACATATACTGTCTCCCGGCACTCAGCATGTAATGTGACCACATATACTGTCTCCCTGGCATGTAATGTAACCTTATATACTGTCTCCCTGGCATGTAATGTGACCACATATACTGTCTCCCGGCACTCAGCATGTAATGTGACCACATATACTGTCTCCCTGGCATGTAATGTGACCTTATATACTGTCTCCCTGGCATGTAATGTGACCTTATATACTGTCTCCCGGCACTCAGCATGTAATGTGACCTTATATACTGTGTCCCTGGCATGTAATGTGACCTTATATACTGTCTCCCGGCACTCAGCATGTAATGTGACCTTATATACTGTCTCCCTGGCATGTAATGTGACCTTATATACTGTGTCCCTGGCATGTAATGTGACCTTATATACTGTCTCCCGGCACTCAGCATGTAATGTGACCTTATATACTGTCTCCCGGGCATGTAATGTGACCTTATATACTGTCTCCCTGGCATGTAATGTGACCTTATATACTGTCTCCCAGCACTCAGCATGTAATGTGACCTTATATACTGTCTCCCCAGCATGTAATGTGACCTTATATACTGTCTCCCAGCACTCAGCATGTAATGTGACCTTATATACTGTCTCCCCGGCATGTAATGTGACCTTATATACTGTCTCCCAGCACTCAGCATGTAATGTGACCTTATATACTGTCTCCCCAGCATGTAATGTGGCCTTATATACTGTCTCCCAACACTCAACATGTAATGTGACCTTATATACTGTCTCCCTGGCATGTAATGTAACCTTATATACTGTCTCCCAACACTCAACATGTAATGTGACCTTATATACTGTCTCCCTGGCATGTAATGTAACCTTATATACTGTCTCCCAACACTCAACATGTAATGTGACCACATATACTGTCTCCCTGGCATGTAATGTAACCTTATATACTGTCTCCCTGGCATGTAATGTGACCACATATACTGTCTCCCGGCACTCAGCATGTAATGTGACCACATATACTGTCTCCCTGGCATGTAATGTGACCTTATATACTGTCTCCCAGCACTCAACATGTAATGTGACCTTATATACTGTGTCCCGGCACACAGCATGTAATGTGACCACATATACTGTCTCCCTGGCATGTAATGTGACCTTATATACTGTCTCCCTGGCATGTAATGTGACCACATATACTGTCTCCCGGCACTCAGCATGTAATGTGACCACATATACTGTCTCCCTGGCATGTAATGTGACCTTATATACTGTCTCCCGGCACTCAGCATGTAATGTGACCTTACATACTGTCTCCCTGGCATGTAATGTGACCTTATATACTGTGTCCCTGGCATGTAATGTGACCTTATATACTGTCTCCCGGCACTCAGCATGTAATGTGACCTTACATACTGTCTCCCGGGCATGTAATGTGACCTTATATACTGTCTCCCTGGCATGTAATGTGACCTTATATACTGTCTCCCGGCACTCAGCATGTAATGTGACCTTATATACTGTCTCCCAGCACTCAGCATGTAATGTGACCTTATATACTGTCTCCCTGGCATGTAATGTGACCTTATATACTGTGTCCCTGGCATGTAATGTGACCTTATATACTGTCTCCCGGCACTCAGCATGTAATGTGACCTTATATACTGTCTCCTGGCACTCAACATGTAATGTGACCACATATACTGTCTCCCCAGCATGTAATATGACCTTATATACTGTCTCCCGGCACTCAGCTTGTAATGTGACCTTATATACTGTCTCCCTGGCACCTCGGCCGTCCTAATCATTAAGCCAATTCGGGTCTCTGCAAGGCTTCTCTCCTTGGCAATCTAAGTCCCACGTACAAGGAAGTCAGGAGAAGACTTTACTGATCCCTTTATCTACTTAGTTCCTACAAAGCACATCCAAGATGCTGCCTTGTCTCAACAGCCCTCTCACCTATGGCTGCTCTTGAGGAATAAAGGGTCCTTTTCCTCACCTTTGCAACCACAAATGGAAAAAGAGCTGGCTACCAAAATCCTAAAAATACTTAAAAGATAATTGGTTTGTCCATGAATTCCTAATGACTACCTCACATTAAGGCACAAAAAGAAATTAAATTTCTCACACTGCACATGGATATTTTGCTACAGAGAGAACTAGTATTCTTAAGTTCAGTTTATAAAAAATGTCCTACATTATCTGACAGTGCAATCTTTAAAAACAACAACAAAAAAGGGTCTCATGAAGCCCAGACTAGCCTTGACTTTAAGGATGACCTGGAATTCATGATCCTCCTGTTTCTACCTCTCCAGTGCTGAGATCACACGTCTGTGACCCCACACACAAAGGAATCCAAGATTTTCAGTGAATTTTAAATTCAACTGAGAAGGACTCTTTAGTTCCTACAGTTTGCCTAACTATGAAAAGTATGCAGTAAGAAACTTAGAATATTCACTGGGGCATCACTATTTCCCAAGGGAGTCTGGTGACCTCATAAAATCACACATCCAGAATTCAGCAAAGACTGTGCCCTAGTATGACAGTATGCCACAGTGGGCTATAGATGTATAGATACCAGTGGCTTCAACCCACAGACAGTCACACAGAGCCATACAGCCTTAGCTGTCTCATTCACTTATCCCACAGTGCTGAGAAATACGGCTTCCTGTACGTGGCATAACGTGAAACAGGCTGAAAGTACGTCTATATGTCAATACGATGAACTGTAGCAACAAGGGCCCCATCAGACATCTGGAAGGGTCAGCAGGCATACCACAACTATCTCAAGTCCTACCCTAGATGCTACCAGGCAAGTGCTATTTGAGCTACCAGGATTTTGCTAGATTAGGGAAACCAGCAGAAGTGCACACTCAGCCAGGGCATCCAGTACCAGTCCCTCAGGTTTTCCTCTTGTGCCAGACCCTGCCCTGGAAGATATGAGATTAAGCATCTCATCTCAGAAAAGAGGTTTCTTATGTTTCACATCTCCCTTGGGTCACTATACTGCAATATATTTCAATGACATGCTTAGAAAAATGCATTTCCTCTTAGAAAGAAAAGAAAGCAATACATGTTGACAGCTTTCAAATGTCTGCATATTTTTACTTCCTCTTAAAAAATATAAATAAATGATTAAAGTTTGACAGTTACAAAAAAAAGACTAATGTACTTTGCCAAGTTCTATATGCCCATCAATAAAGAAAAGAATAGAGAAATTACCTATTGGACTGGTTTTCCTGAACAAATGGGTAACAGGTAATCAGATAACTGGGGATTGGCGTTGGTTCAACACCAGAAACACTTCCATTATCATTTGGGAGAGCCATAGGGAGCACAAATGCATCCAGATTCTTCTTCTGGGGAATAAATGGCTCTACTTCAGCAGAAAGTTTGACATTCTTCAAAGAGAAAACAGAATGCATGAGTTACATATCAACAACCAATACAAATTTGGCACTTGTAAAGACTCTACAGACAGTACTCTCAGAACATGTAGAGGAACAGCAATGTCAACTTAAAGTAAGGGAATAACTAGTAAAACAAAGAAAGACTTACCAAAAGTCACAACACTAAAGTGAAATCATTTCTTATGCAGTCGAGCTGCTAGAATAATCAAAACTATTGCTCACATCTAAAAATACCGTAGTAAGAAGAAATCTAGCTTCTGAGACAAAACAGTATTTCCTGCTAATTTTGTAAGGGGGGAAAAGTCATTCAACATAAATTCTGAAGAAAAATTATATTTCTTTGAATAGTTGAAAAAGTAGTCTATTTCTGCCCATTGCAGGAAATTAAGTTTCATATCATTAAACTACAATGAAGGGAAATGTCTAAAATGAATCAAAAACATAAGGGGAAAAATTATGTTTCAGAGTTAAACTTGGAGACAAAAAATGAGAGTAACTTTTCCAGTAGAAACCCAAACACTAATGTGATCCTAACACAGAGATTTCCATGTCAGCCTCCTGGGTTCCTGTGTATCTTTCTTATGATACAGGTTCCAGATTAAAAGCCAAATAAAACTAACCTCTGAGAAAACATACACATGGAAAAATATTAACAAAATGAGCTTTGTAACTATGAGGACAAGAATACCCTCTTAGGAAAGAGAGGGCTGCAACTGAGAAGAGGTATCTGGAGAGCTTGGGGGTCCCTGGGAAGTTCTTTATCTTAGCGGAACTTATGAGCTGTCCAACTTGTTAATCAAGCTGTACATTGATTCTAGTAATTTTATGCACATTATATTAACAAATTTAAGTTTCTGAAACAAAACTATCTATAGGAGGTGGGCACAGTGGCCCATTTCTGTATTCCTAGCCCTCACAAGGCTGGAGCAGGAGGTCTGCCAAGAACCTGAGACCAGCCTGAGCTAAAGAGTGAGCCCAAGTCAGATGTGATATAACAAGACACTACCTCCCAAAAAGGGGGTGGGGGCAACTAGGGACCTAATCCTGCTGGTAGAGTCCCTGCCTAGCATGCACGAAACCTTGAGTTCAATTCCTAGCACCACATAAATAAGGCATGGTGGTGCAAGTTTGGAATCCCAACACTCAAGTCAGAAGGATCATAAGTTCAAAGTTATTCATCCTCTGTTACATAGAATTCAATGCCAATAGGGGCTTGCGACCTTGCCTCAAAAACAAAAAGAGAATAAAAAAATAGAAGAGAGAAAAAAAACCTATGGCATAGTCTTCAAAATCAGAATGCTAACCATGCAAATTTATAATCTAAAAATATAAACACCTTTTTATTAAAACAAAGTTGGTAAAATGCAAGTCAATATTTCAACCACTCAAAACAATTATCTAGCTGGCAGCGTTACACACATCTCTAATCCAGTACTTGGGAGGCAGAGGTAGGTGGATCTCTGTGAGTTCGAGGCCAGCTCTGGTCTACAGAGCGAGTTCCAGGACAGGCTCCAAAACAATACAGAGAAACCCTGTCTCGAAAAACCAAATAAAAAATAAAAAACACAAAAACAAAATAGTCCTAACCAGGACATTTCCTACTTAAGTCATTAAGGTGACATTTAATAAAAGCTCCCACAAAAACACAGGTCTTTCTTATATAACAAATGCATGAAAGTTTAAAGATAAGGCTTAATGGACAGCTTTTACTCAGAAAAGCCAAATGATCCCTCAACAGTCTGGGGCATAGATGAGAAATGCTTGTTAATAGTGCAAGGACACAGGTCTGCACTACAAGCAGTATTTACTCAGTTCCTCCCTTCCCGCCCCACTAAACTGTGGAGCCTGCGTTCACATTATTAACCAAACCTGAAGGAGCATGAACACCTACTTGTGAACTATGGATGGTTTCCTGAAATACAACACAGGCAAAATACCTTCAAGTGTTAGGGAGATAGCAATTCTTATTCTGCCACTCATTAGAACTGAACACTGACACACAATATACCAGTAAATGACTTACCTGGGAACAGAGGCTGACTTCCAAAAATGCAGAAAATAAAAGCTTGTTTTATATAGTTTGTACACATTCGCAAAGCGGGAGATATCCTATTTTAATTACACTAAAATGTAATTTTTAAGATTTCTTTTAAAAATCAGAGTTCTTCTATAAACGGAAGAACTCTGATGAGTTGTAGTTCTAAACTAATACTTACTAGTTTTTCATAAAGCAAGGAATACAAACACATTGAAGAGTCTATAATGAAAAAAAGGAGTCATAGTAATTAACTATAATCTTAAAATAACACTTTTCTTAACTCTTTCCCTGTACTTCCCCTCCAGTAAAACCTCATCAGAATCAAAACAACCTAATCAATTACTTTGGTAAGAAATTGAAATTCTTGTTCAGATCAAAAGTTCTACACACAACTTAATTTGTATTTTATATAAACATATGTTATGGCCTCAGGCAACTTGTTCAGAAGTGTATGGCTTCTTAAGATGATGTGTACACACAGGCATGCGTGCACACACACACACACACACACACACACACACGCACACGCATGCATCCTTGAAGACTAAGACTTGCACTGGTTTCTACTCTAAGTGCAATTCTAGATACCAAAGTTCAACAATAAAATTCACAAACATTGAAATAATCCTTTGTTTTAGCAGAGAGAGAGAGAGAGAGAGGGAGGGAGGGAGGGAGGGAGGGAGGGAGGGAGGGAGAGAGAGAGAGAGAGAGAGAGAGAGGGAGGGAGGGAGGGAGGGAGGGAGGGAGGGAGGGAGGGAGGGAGGGAGGGAGGGAGGCCACCGTGGTCAACAGCTGTCACCAGAAGGAACAGACTGAAAGCTTTCACTACAGTTTTAACTTTACATGTTTTCTGAAGTTGTTCATTGTCATTTTTAACAATTATCCACCATACATCTAAACAAACAGCCCAAAAAGCAATGCTGAATGCAAAAAAATCCTTTAAAGTTCAAATGTCAAAATATAAATTTGGTCAATTTTAATATTAGTATAGAAAATTTGAAAATATTGGAAAATTAGACTAGTTACTTTATATAATAGTATTCCTCAGTTCGAATTTCCACGTTTTAGTCACTAATTTTTATTCCTTTCTTTTTAAGTGTCTCACTATTTCCAGGTTAGCCTTGAACTAATGATTCTCCTGCCTCTCCCTCTCATAGAAGCACCACCATGCCTAGCTCATGATCTGTATGTTTATATAGACATATTTTTAAAGGTTTCTTTCATGCTTAATTACATGTATGTATGACTACATGTGTCAATGTGTGGTAAGTGAAGTACATGGGTTTGTGTGGCCAGAGTAGAGTCCTGGGGAGCTAGAGTTACAGGTGCCTGTGAGCAACCTATGTGGGTGTGGCAATTGAACTTGGGTCCACTGACAAGTCCTATGCTCTCTTAACCACTGAACCATCTCTCCAGTCCCTCATAATCTATATTTTGAGAAGCTAAATTTTATAAAAGGGAACTGGTACCTTACTGGAAAGAAATGTAAATTGGGCTGGAGCGATGGCGCCTCAGTTAAGAGCACTGACCGCTTTTCCAGAGGACGCAGATTCCATTCCCAGCACCCACATGGAAGGTTATCTGTAACTCTAGCTCTAGAGGACCCGATGCCCTCTTTTGGCAACCACAGGCACCAGGCATGCGTATGTGCACAGACATGCATGCAGCCAAAACACACATAGACATAAAATAAAATAATAAAAAATATAAACTAACAGAAACAGTATAACCATCGTTGTATTATTGTCTGCTTCAAAAACCCAACTCCATGATAACACTATCTTTCACAAGTTATTTCAGATTTCCTAAATTAATAAAAAAATCTGATTAATTCTGTCTGTGAAAATACTTATGCATTCCACTCATTTTTAATTTTGAACATATTAAAGCAAATGTCAATAATAAAATGACATTTATACAAATAATCTAGAAAACCAAATATGTTATCAGACATAGACGTACAAAAGACTTCCTCAAGAGCGTTCCTGAGCCATGCTCTGGGATCCCAGAGAGCCCAAAGGATGACCACACTGGCACAAGCTGGGAGGCCACTGCACCAACCAAGGGGAGCGGGAACACAGGCAGGGAGCACCCAAAGCCCATGGCAGCAGAGCATGCATCCTCAATTCCTCAGAGAAGCCTGCAGGAGAATGCAAATAACCTCCCAGATTAAGCAACAGAAAAGTGACACCCACCTAAAATCAAAACTGAAGTAGAACATAATGAGACTTTCTCCCACAGTGAAACTTCAGAGTATGTACCGCACACCCACAGGAGGGGACGATGGAAGCCTCCACACTCTATGTTAAGGTGAAAATGCATCAAACAGTAAGGTGCTTTTACACCCCCTGGTACAGATATATTAAGTGCCTTCTAGGGGACATGAATGAAGCCAGATAGCTGCTAGCTGTACTGTCTCTCAGTAAAGCACTTGTCAAGACAAACTGCACCTGCCAGTGTTCAAGACTTCAGAACACACTGAGGAAAACGGCAGGAGATTTACAGAGTGACCACTTACTTCCTGACCCACACACCTTTCCTTGTTAAAAGCCTGTTTAAAACTTGATAGTGTTTTCTTAAAAGCAACAATAACAAAAATCACCATTTTACACGTAATATTAATTTTCATATATCTAATTTATTAATTTCTACTTTTACTTTTTTTTCTTGCTTTAAAGTTTCTCCCAACCTCTTGCCTTGGATGGATAATTTTACTTTCCTTTTAAACTTTGTAACACACAGAGTATTCATGAGTACACATCTGTCTCAGAGCACTTCAGGCATATTTCATAGGTTTTACATATGATACATAGTTATACTTTCCTAATAGCCTACCATTTTATTTTTGTCTCTGACCTTTGATATTTAGTTAATACATTTCTAATGACTTCTCATTCTTTTTTTTTATTTTAATTTTAGGCTTGAAATATCTTTTTAAATTTCCAAATGTTTTCTCTAAAAGAACACATGACCTAAGAGTATTATTTAGCCTGGTGGTGGTAACACACACCTTTAATCCCAGCACTTGGGAGGCAGAGGTAGAAGGACCTCTGTGAGTTCAAGGCCAGCCTGGTCTACAGTGAGAATTCCAGGACTTCCCATTAAAAAAAAAAAGTTGTGTGACTAGATAACAAAGGTTTTATGGTTACACTTAGAATACAGTTGTCCCTCACTGTCTAAGGCAGGTTACCAGGTCCTCACTACAGACCTGACAGTCCATGGATGCTCAGTTCTTGGACAGAGTGTGGTATTCACATACAGGCCATTCCCACCCTCCAGTGTACTGTTTACTTAGCTCCCAACTGCTAGCAAATTGAAGGGATAGTAAGTATTTATCTCTTATACTGTGTTGTTTAGGGCAGAACGAAGACACAAGCCTGCTCATGTTTAGTACAAACTGAACTTTTCCCCCCAAAGTATTTCTCATGCAGTTGATAGTCTCAAAGGTTAGACCCTGCAGGTGTGGAAAACTGACTACCCATTTAGTTCGGAGTGCTGCTATTAGCTAAACAGTTGTAACAATTATATATTTGCATTATATTACTTTATGTTCATGTGTGTACATGATGTGTACTTGGGGTGTGGAGAGGACACTTTCGGTAGCTGGTTCCTTCCTTTCTCCATGGATTCCAGGTTGTCAGACTTGGTGGCAAGTATGTTTACCAGCTGAGCTAGCTCACCAGCCTGGGTTTACATTCTCATTTGTGACAAAACTGCATGAAGCCACACTCATTGCATTTGTTTTTCTAGGAACGAAAGAGGCAAATAATCAGTGATTTTTATGGATCATTTTAGAGTACTGTGACACTCTAAAACAGCCTGTGAATCTTAAGGGTCCTGCCATTTCTAAGCTTTATTTAAAAATTCCAAAACAATCCTAGATTTCCTAAAAATAGAGACACCCAATCTTTATAAACAAATGAACCCCATGATTTATTCCTCACACCTTTTATACAAGATTTTATGATGAGATGAAGAAAAATGAGGCCAAGGAGATCAGTAAGGTACTTGTAGAGAATGAGGACTTGAGTTTAGATCCCTAGACCCAGGGAAAAAGCTAATGCAGAAGTAGGGGCTGTGATCCCATTGCTGAGAGGCAAAGGCAGAAGATCCCTGGGGCTTGGTGGCCAGCCAGCCACTCTAGCTGCTATCAGTGAGCTCTGGGTCAGTGAGACACGTCACAAAGTAAGGTGAGGAGCTATTGAGGAAGATATCTGCCCAACCCTGACCTCTGACCTCTACATGCATACTGTACAATTTATTTCCCCAACCCCCAACGTACACACATGAAAATGAATCATACCAAGTAAAAACTGTTCTTGTAACAGCTACCTCTGGCAGTTAAAATTGAGCTACATGTTTTGACTTAATAGTAAGAATATTCCTGAGAGGCTCTCTGGTTGGATTTGAGTTGTTACTACAATGAGGGTTACCCTCTAGCACTACATTACCAATGACTTACTTCCTAGAACATACACAAGGCTTATCTGTTTATAAAGTCAGCTTGTGTAAATGACAATTTTAAAAGCCTATGGCATGAAAGCCTTCAGACACAAATGTTTAGATTTGTTACCCTTGTGCAGTCCTCCAAGGATTTATTAATTAGGCTAACTTGAAATGCCACAAGTCTATTACTGAGTACAATTAAAAGATAAAAGCAAACTAACTTATGTAAACTGCTAAGCCCTAAATCAGTTAATGTTGTAGGCATTTTCAGAAATTCTGACTGTAAGCCAGCAATGGTTTAAAAGGAAAAACAAAAACAAAACATTTGGAGGGTGGTGGGAATTTGGTACAAATACTTCTTGAGGGATTTTACCTATTTAAATGCTGTTTAGTAGGTCTCCCATTACAGGCTAGGCTGAGGCAAGAAGTATTGGGGGGGGAGACAAAAACAAACAAAAATGCTTTCAATAGAAAATAATTTGCATGTCGTCCCCCCGCAGCTCTTAGCTTCCCAAGGGTTTAGTAGCTGGTGGAGTCTGTGTGATGACAGAAGAGGATGCTCGATAAGCAGTCTGGTACATATAATCACATGTAGAGAGCTATGATAAATGTTACCATCTAAACAGGTAATTACATTTCCTCCGAGATGAAAGGAGCTCTGAGTATACGTACATTACTGGTTCGGAATGTCCCACCCTTTCATTAGAGCTGCACATGCAAGGAAATTTCCTTTTCTTTCGTCAAAATTTGAGATCTCCCATTTTTTTTCAGAATTACTTTGAAACATGTTTTAATTAAATCTACTACAAGCTGTAACAGAATACTCTGGGCCACAGGGAAGTGTGTATTTACCAAGAAGCAACGCACCAATTTTCCTCTGATACTCTGTGCTCCTTAATAAAAAGAGTTGTATTCTCACGAAGCCTTTCTTTCCTTTTTAAGTTAAAGTCTGTGTGGCCCTGGAAGTGCTGAGGCAGAAAGATCGCTCCTAAGAGATCTAGGATAGAACGGAGACTATAACAAGTCTCAACAACAGCGGAAAGGACAAAGTGTACAAAACTAGGAAGCTGTGTTTTGGTTTGAAAAGAGTGGAATTCAAAATCAAAACTGTCATTAAGTAGATAAAAACATATACAGGAATTTGAGAGATGGCGTCTCGTTTATTCGAGTTAATCAACTATTTGCAAAACTAACAGGCAGTAACCAGTGTTAACTTCTCCCTTCAACTATGTGACTAACTGACCACGGTTTTGGAAGAAGAGAACTGACAGTAAACAAAAATCAGAATCAAATTAAGTCATCTCCAGAGAAGCTGTAAAATACTGGGGGGAGGAGGAAGCATGACACTATTCTTTTAAGTTATTTTTCACACTGTCACTAGCCCTTCCTCCCAGCACTTACCAGCAAGAATTTGATGCAATCAAAAAGTAAAGAGACCACTAACGGAACTACAGTGCGAATACGAAAATGGGCTCAAAATAAACTCTTGCTCCATTTTAAAAACGATAATTATTTGCAAAATGACTAGCTAAGAAAACAAGGGGGAAGCCACGGTAGTCTCTTCAGGAAAGGAATACACAGACAGACGCTTGAATCCGCTGAGCACAGACCGGCCCCGGTCCACATCCCCGGGCCTTCTAGCCGAGCCGGCCTGGCCCGCCCGGAGGCCCGAGAGCAGCCCGGGCACTCGCGTACCTGCTCGGCCGGCGCTCGGTCCATGACTCCGGCGGCGGGCGCCGGCTCTAGTCGGTGTGCGCAGCGCCGCGGGCCGCTTTCTCCATGGCCCCCCGCTCGGTCCCGCCGAGTCCCGTCCTCTTCGCACCGCCGGCCGGACGCCGACTCGGCTACGCCACTGGCCCGGGAGGCGGCTCCTGCTCGCGGCGGCGGAGGCGGTGGCCGCCCCGGGGAGGGATCATCTGGGACGGAAGCCGAGCGGGGCCGAAAGGGCGGAGGCGCAGTAGGAAATGGAGGTCCTCAGGGGCGGGGACGGCCGACGAGCACTCCGAGCCGGGGCGTCTGGAGGACGGCCAAGGCCAGGGGTACAGCCTGCTTGGGAGGTACAGTCCTCCCTGGACTGTTTAACTAGGAGAGTTGGGCCTCCTTGAAACCGGAACGACCCTGTTGAGTTTGCTGGGACCTCGCAGTCTCTTCAGGAGCCGGAACTGACTCGGGATATTGGAAGAGTTTGTAGCTGCTCGCTAGTCATGTGATCCGGCCAGGACTCTAAAAGAATGAAAACAACAGTCTTGCCCTCAGAAAAGTGCACAAATAAATTGCATACGCAGAGTAGCCGTGGCAAAGAAACCCTTTAAAAAGCTCCACAAATAATAATTATTAATGTACTGTTCAGGTTCAGACTCAACGTCTAGCCTCAATTCCAGGTTGATTTTGCCCATCTCAAACCCGTTTGTACTGAGAATCTGCATAACTATCCAAGAAGTGATTATCTACTCCGTTGCCTTCCCCCTGTTATGGATTGTACCTTTTAATCTTCAGGTCATTAACCCCTTAAAGACAGAGTCAGCCTTGAAACTGAACGCTACTGTTAGAGGGAGTTGGGCACAGCCTCCAACACACACAAGCTCTCTAGAAGAGTTCTGGCTTGGTAAAGTGAATCAGCTGAATAATGTATACTTTAGTAAAAAAGAGAGCAGCGTTGGCGGCTGTGTAGGTCACTAGTGAGGGGATCAATGTCTGGAAAAGGCAAATAGAAGTCTAAGAAATTTGCTTTGTCATCATGCTTCAAGAGCTCTTAGGTGAGCCTAGAAATTGCCTTTTTGGTGAGTCCAGGTTATTAGTCTGGTTTTACTTGAAGCCTCCAAGGAGAGGCTGGTCCATGAAGATCCTAACTATACTAGCGTGAATATTGTACTTTTGTCAACTTAAAAGAGCTTTATTTCAAAAAGACATCTGAAGGCTGGTATGCACACAGTATGACAGAGAAACATTTATGCTTGTATATGGAGATTTTCATGCATTTGGTTTTACTCTTCCGTCATATACACACTTTTATTTAAACTGCACACACATTTGTGTTAGAAATGTGCAAGCCGTGTACTGTTAGGTCCCTTAGAGTCTGTTACACACACCTGTTCAGGAGTCAATGAGTGCAGAAGGAATTTGAGGTTGTTCCACAAAATGAAGCTATTTATACGGGGTAGTTACATAAGCTAGCAGATGTTCATTCTTCATTCCAACAGAAAGACAAAATGAACCGTGTCCCTTCTGGTGGTCTTTAGCTGTGAGACACCCCCATCTGAGTAAAAAGTCATGAATGTATTTGAGATGTCCCCCTTCTCCCAAGGATCTGTAAGAGGAAATTTAAATACAGAATCTCTATCTTTCCACTTTATGTGATTTTTGTGACTGTGTTCTGGTTGAGAATCTTCTAAATCCAATATTTATATAAATTGTAAGAATTATAGAAACAAGAAGTGTCACTATCATTAATTTAGTGGAATCCCAAAAAAATGGCTATGCCTGTTAAAAGATACTAGATCTGTGATGAAAACAAAGAAATTTAAAGAACTGTTTTACAGGTGATACAAATGAATTGTTTTCTTTAGCAACAAATATTAATATAGTCAATGTGCCAAGTACAATGCTAATCACTGGAGGTACAGAAGCTAACAAGACGTGACGAGGGCAAAAGTCATATTTGTCTAATGGGCAAGACATACACACAGCAAGTAATTCCAATGAAAATGTATCTTGGCAAAGAAATCCAGTAGGAACAGGGATTGAAACCAGAGAAGGTGGATCCAAAAGAACAAATTCTAAAAAGATCAAGCAAGCACTGTAATGGAGAAGAGGTTGCTGTTCTAGCTGCTTGGTAGGAAGAATGCAAGTTCAAGGGCTGCCAGGGCTAGATAGTGAGTCAAAGGCCAGCCTGAGACTTACATTCTGTCTCAAAGCCAAGAATAAAGGGGGGTGGGTTTCTAGGGATATAGTTCAGTTACCACTGTGCCTGGCATGCACAAGAACCTGGGTTCAACCCTAGCAGGGCAACAACACACACAGAGAGAGAGAGAGAGAGAGAGAGAGAGAGAGAGAGAGAGAGAGAGAGAGAGAGAGAGAGAGAGAGAGAGAGAGAGAGAGAGAGAGAGAGAGAGAGAGAGAGAGAGAGAGAGAGAGAGAGAGAGAGAGAGAGAGAGAGAGAGAGAGAGAGAGAGAGAGAGAGAGAGAGAGAGAGAGAGAGAGAGAGAGAGAGAGAGAGAGAGAGAGAGAGAGAGAGAGAGAGAGAGAGAGAGAGAGAGAGAGAGAGAGAGAGAGAGAGAGAGAGAGAGAGAGAGAGAGAGAGAGAGAGAGAAACAACCCTTACAAGGAGTTTAGAGAGTGCAGGATACAAAAACCACTGGAAGAAATTTGACTCCTATGGAAGTAGCGACAGTGCACTGTGATAGAAGAAAAGATACATTAGGGCTAGAGTTACATTTACAGTAAGTTAAAGATCCAGAGTTGAAGGGACATGACTTAGTAGCTTTTCTTTTCTCCTTGGAATAGGATACAATGTAGAAACATATTTAAGACTTGTGCATGCCTAGGAGTACATGCCAACATAAAACAAACTCAATGATCTATTTTTCAGCATTGTGTGTAATTTGGCCTTTTGGCATTTTTTGTCTTATTGGTCTTTTGATTTTTTGTTTTGATTTTCCTTCTTGTGGGGTTTTTTGCTTCTTGGGTTTTTTGTTTGTTTGTCTTGGTAAGTGTGTGTTTTGCTTGTCTCTTTTTTCTATGAAGGAGAGAGAGAACATGAAGTTGGATGTGGAGGGGAATGGGGAGGATCTGGGAGGAGTTGGGGGAGGGAAAACATGACCAAAATATATTCTTGGAATTTTTTAATTAAAAATAATAAATTAATATATTTTAAGATGTGTGCATGTCATCAGATGTAAATTTTACAACAAAGAGATGAAGTAGCAATCAAATCTAGTTTTAACAAATGTATACACAATTGTAACCCAATCGTTATAGAGGTATAAAATACTATTATTGTCTCCAGTGGTTTTTTAAAACTTCTCTATTTCTATCAAATATTTCCCTCACACACTGTAGTGTTTTCACCATCCATACCAAATGCCCAGGATCTAACAAGTACTAGGTAATTATTTAGGAAACCAAGGTCATAAGCTTCTTGGGGATTGACACTCTGAATTGATGCCCTGGGGACTCAGGCACACAGCTTTTTAAGATAGAATCCCTTTTTAAGCAGCTTTGGGCAGAATTCCCTCCCACCAAACTCTAGGGCATTTTGTTACTTTCTTATTCTATGGCTCTCCATCCAGCTTTACCTCTGTCTAGCCAGTAAACCATCTTAATTTTGGTATATATCCAAGCAAATGACAGACTTCAGTACACCTTTGCTCTGGGGAAATCCACAAATCTACACTTGGTAAAAAGTGAAGCTTTATCCGCAGTGTTTTCTGTGCCCATGGAATCTTCTCTTTTTCCTAGGAGCGTGGATGTCTTAGTAGAGTCCCTATATTCTCTCAGGCTCTGGGAGATGCTGTCAAATTCTCCAAGTATTTGCCTGAAAGCTGCTCTCCGGAGTGCCTCGTCTCTCCTGGGTGGAGGTGGAAGCCGTGGCCTCTCTAAAGCAGTATTAGCATGTGTCATCATACTCACCACACCACCACCACCACAGCAATAGGAAACGGGCCACAGCTCCGAGGATTTCTGCGCTGCTCTTGCATACAGACAAGAACTTGGTTCTAGGGTAGAAACCCCTGGTAGCTAAGGTGTTGTCTGCTGAGGACTGTTCTTGAATATAAGAGTGCATGATGAGTTAGTTAGCAAATTCTTTTGGGTACCACTTGATGATATGTGAGACGCTTGACAAGGTAGTAAAACTGCAAGAGTAAATGAGATACTGTTTCTGCTGTAGTAGAATTTACCAGCTTATCTAGCTCATCTGGAAGACAAACAATGAGCGTATTTTCTTAAAGGGTTGCAGTGACAAAGAGGAACACTGTGGACTAAATAAAGCAAGTATGGCAACTGCAGCTGGAAAAGGAGATGGAATCTTCTAGATGGGTTGACATCTGAGGAGATGATATCTAACCTAAGATACGGATAACACAAAAAAGAAGAGGGGAAGATGAAGGGGCCAAAAAGAAGAAAAACACACACTGGGAAAGCAGAAAAGAAACCAGTACAAATAGAGAATGAGTCGTGAGAAAGGGAGAATGCCAAAGGAACCAGGCGCCAGGCCAAGCCAAGTCTGTGTGCTCTATGGTGAAGTATGTGAATTTATAGTCAAAAAGTTGCTTGGGAATAGGGACAAAGTGCAGTGATCAGAGAACTTGCTTAGCATGCACAAAGCTCTGGGATCCACCCCCAACTCCCATCATACATACACACACACACACACACACACACACACACACACACACACACACACAAGAGTAAACAGTATCAGAGGCTGAACCTGAGGCTCTGGAGGGCAAGCACTCTGTAACTTATTTACACCTCAGTCCCAGGCATTTTTACAGCTAAGAGAGAACCTCTGGGCAAATCATCTGGCAATCTGACAGAATAAGCCACAAAATCAGGCCAGCATCTCTGAGAAGGCACCATGCCTCTAGCTCCATTCTCTCTCTCTCTCTCTCTCTCTCTCTCTCTCTCTCTCTCTCTCTCTCTCTCTCTCTCTCTCTCTCTCTCTCTCTGTCTCATTTGGCTCTAGCAGACTGACCTCCAGACTGAATTGTGAGCACACTCACTTCTGAAACACTGTCCTGGCCTTGTTGCTTCGCTGCCTGGACCTGCCTGGACCGCTCTCACCCACTTAACACACAATTCCACAATTCCAGCCTTTGCTTGAGGCCTCTGCTTAAAGGTGGCCTTTGAATGAGAGTCTCTCTGATTGCCTTTTTAAAAGCAGTACCACCTCTAAGAAGGCCGTATGGTACAGGCCTGTAATCCCAGCTACTTGGGAGACTGAAGCAAGGAAGATTGCAAGTTGAAGCCTAGCATGAGCAGTTTAGTGAGACCCTGCTTCAAGATAAAAATTCAAACAAGGGTCTTAATGGTAGAACACATGCCCAAGTACCACAAAACAGACCACAGTAGGTGGCTGATGTTCTTCTGTATGCTGTGAATACATG